TGAGTGAGAATTTGTCAATGAAGCGCCTGTAAAAATTTCCTAGGCCCAAGAAGGAGCGAATGTCGCGGACTGTGCGTGGGATTGGCCAATCTTTTATTGCGTCCACCTTTGAGTCCTCCATGGCGACATGGTCTTTTGAAATTGTATATCCCAGATATTGGAGCTTTTCCTTGTAAAACTCACATTTTTCGGGTTTCAAATATAGATCGTTGTCGCGTAGGATTTGGAAAACTTGGTTTAGGATTTTAACATGTTCCGCCATGGTTTTGGAGAAGACGAGGATGTCGTCCATATATACGGTTATCTTCCGGGCTGTGATGAGCTCCCTGAAGATCATGTTCATCATAGCTTGGAAGGTGGCTGGCGAGTTGGTTAGGCCGAAGAACATCACCGTAGGTTCGTAAGAACCCAACGGGGTGATGAAGCTCGCCTTCCACTCATCTCCCTCTTTGATGCGTATATTGTTGTATCCCCATCGCACATCCAATTTGCTAAAAATGATGGCCCCTTTTATTACGTCCAGTAGTTCTTGGATTAGTGGAAGGGGGCACACATTCGGGATGGTGTGCGAATTTAAATGGCGATAGTCCTGTACCGGGCGTAGTTTTCCATCTTTTTTTCCTATAAAGAAAAATGGGGCTGCTGTTTGCGAGGTGGATCGACGGATGGTTCCTCTTTCCAGATGTTCCTTGATGAATTTTCCTAATTCATCGTGTTTTTCTGGGCTCAGGGCGTAGATTTTGGGCACTTGCGGTTTGAAGGTTGGTTTTAAGTCGATGGCATGATCCCAGTAAGTGTGTTCTGGGAGTCGCTGCGACTTTCGTTCGCTAAAAATGTCCAAAAATTCGTGATGCGCCTTGGGAACTCTTTCCTTTAGATTGGTGACGATGATTTCGTCTTCCAGGTCTTGGTCGAAGCTGGCAAATCCTGACGGTTCGGGGGCCAGTTTCCGAATAACTGGGTCCCGGGTGGCCTGTTTTCCTGAGGGTTTGTCTGGGAGATCAGGTTCTCCCCCGTTTGGCGGAAGAGATGGCTTGTCTTGAGCCTTTCGTTTCTCTTCTGCGTATTTCCTTATGTCCTTTAGGAGCCATTTCCTTTTGAGGTATGCTCGTAGTCGGACGCCAAACGTTCCGCTGTGATCGCGGAGTCCTACATCTTCCGATAGTCTTCGGAGATGTTCGAGGCGCTGTTTTTCGCGCTCATTGATGCGTGGTTTGCGCCGTGGCTCCACGTCTGATAACCGCCTACTGTATGGCGGTTCTTCCCTTGCCCTGGTGAACCCATATGGTTGCTGGCATTTCTGGGGGCACCGATCAAAGTGCACTTCTCGTCGCCTCCATTCGATGGAGGGATCGTGGTATTTCAGCCAATCTGTTCCCAGGATAAGGTCGTCTTTCCCTAGATTGGAGATAAACATCTGGACGCGCTCGGTATGCGTTCGTCCACTGATGTCCCGAATGGTGAGGTTCACATCCAGGGCGGATCGGATGAGACCTGCTTTGTTAATGGTATCGTCGACGTTCCGGACGCGAATGGGGTTGTTGAGTGTATAGGTGGGGAAACGATGTCTCTTGACCCAAGTTTCGTTTACTATAACCCCTTCGCAGGCCGAGTCGATGGTTGCCTTTGCTCCAGCGCTTTGACTCCTGTTTGATACTTTCACGTTCAGGCGTATGGGTGTGATGATACGGTCGTTCATTGCTCCGATACGAATACAAGTGCGGGCATCAAACTCGGGTCGTCCTTGACCTCTCTCCTTCGCTGGTGAGGGAGAGGTCAGGAAAAACGCTCCGCGTGTCCCAAGATTATTTCTCTGGCTTCATCCTCTCCTAATTCTCCGAGCACTGCTCCGATTCGAGCAGAATGACTGACGCCTCCGTCTCCCCGTCGTCCGTTAGGTAGCATAGTGCGCTGCCCATGGTTCGTCTGGGGTCGTCCGGATGGGGTAGAGTGAGGACGTTCCATCGAAGAACCAGGTTGTGGTACCCGCTGGTTGTTGCGATGAACATCCTCTGTCTCCATTCCTCGATATATTCCCGCTTGGTTTCCCATAGCGGGTGCGTCGTCTTCTCCCTCCAAATCAACCGCGCGGTTTCTTCTCCCTGTTGTACCCATGCGTCTTTTCGAGTTTCCTCGAATCGGTTGAACGCCTCTGCGTAATGATGGGCAGTCAGCATTCCAGTGTCCTGTTTTCTTGCAATGGTAACAGGCGCCAGGAGGCTTGCCGTCATATTTCCGCTTTTGGCTAAGGGCATTGCGCTTGCGTGTCGCGTCAATGTCCATGTCAACAACTTGGTTGTTCATTCTGCGAGGGGCGTTTGTGGAATTGTAGCGGGGAGAGATTTGGTTATGAAAACGATTCAGATAATCGCTTCGAAAGGAGGTGGAGTTGGCGAGGATGGCCTTTTGAGCTGTTCTGGCTCGAAGTCGTCCATCTATTTCGCAGGCTGTATTGATCCAGTCCTGAATCGTATCCTTTGGCTGAACTTCCTTGTCGTATATTTTGTCCATGACGCGCGGGTCTAACCCGCGTTGGAAGTAAGGGACTTGCTCTTTATCGGAGATGTCGGCATCGGCGGCGATGAGAATGAATTGGTTGGAGTATTCATCAACCGTCATTCGTCCTTGGGAGAAGGCCATGAGTGCGCTTCGCGCCTTGTCGGTCTTGCCCGTCTCCCTGAACTGTAATTTGAACTTGGCTAGGAAGTCCTTCCAGGTGCCTAGATCGGTAGGTGGATCTGCTCCTACTGATTTGAGGAGGAAGTTCTCCGCCCAAGCTCCCGCCGTGCCGTATCTCATGCATGAGAGCACAAGGGATATTTTGTCTTGATCGGTCTTGTACCGATCGGATTCTGCTGCGAAAAGAAGGAGGCATTGGAGCATGAATTTCTGGGATTCAATGCGGTCGCCTGTGTAATTGTCTGGGAGTTTGACTTTTCCTCTTCCGGGTTGTACTGTCGCGGAAGGGGTGTTTGTAGAAGTCGAAGCTTGTCCCGACATTTCGGCGAGTGGTTCGTTTCGGGTGTTGATCGGTGTTTGGTCTGGTGAGTCGGAGTCTGATTCCGAGGTTGTTTCCTCTTGCTCCGAGTCTTCGGGGATTACCGGCGCCGGTTCCCTGTATGGTGGGGCTAGTTCCCACTGAGCTTCTATTTCGTTCCAAATATCCTCTTCTTCTGTTCCGTCTTCAAGTGTGAAGTAATAACGCCCGTTTCGGTATGAGCAGTTATCGTAATTCGGAGGGGCAGTTCTGTTATTGTCTTCGTAGACCCAGAAATCCCCTTCGCGCCGGATAGGGCAATTGTTGTGACGGAGTTGGTTATTGATACGTCTAGTGCCTGGTGGGTATTCCTGGCCTAGGTCTTGCTCCAGAGTGTATGCAGTAACGCTTTCTCAATGGGGGTCTATATCCCCACTGAGCAAGGTTATGAGAGAGAGTGTGGCAGCAAGCTAGTGCGAGCAAGGTAGGGGCAGAAGAGTCTATTCTAGTGTTACGACTGCTCGTCGGTAACCCCAAGAGTAGGAGGTTCTTCCCTAGGTCACTCGTGGAGGATGTGTGGAACGATGGTCTCGACTGTACGTGTAGCACAGGAGCCAGAAGTGTATTGCGATGTAGCAATGAAGAGAAGATTCCTGTATGTGAAGATACAGGAGAACGAAGAGAATAGACTGAAGATCGTCAGCCTATTCTATGGGCCTTTTATACTACTTTGGGAAGTGGGGCGTGAGAATACCAAATATGTATCTGTAGGTATTCTCTAAGTCGTCTCTCTCAATAACGACTACTCTTGTGCTTCTCCATTGGTCTCCTTCCGGCCAGGAGAGACTAGGAGGTTCATGCCCTGCGTGTGAGTAATTTATAAGGCGGCGTTCCATGCCCGCTAATACAAGGCCCGTGATACTCGACCAATGATTGATGATCCATTGGGAGTGGATGACCAAGGTTAATATCTGTACCTTGGTGTACGCCTCAACTTGTGAGGCCGCGTGATATTTGTGATGATCGTGTCGGTATAGACCGCCGTTAAGGCCCGACAGAACGTGATCATAACAAATAACGACTACTCTTGTGCTTCTCCATTCATCTCCTTCCGGCCAGGAAAGACTAGGAGCTCAATGCCCAGTATGTGAGTAGTTTGTAAGGCGGCATTCTATGCCCGCATGCAATATGGCTCGTGATACTCGACCAACGATAAGGTGATCCGTTGGGAGTGGATGACCAAGGTTTTATCTGTACCTTGTTGTATGCCTCAACTTGTGAGGCCACTTGATATTTGTGATGATCGTGTCGGAATAGACCACCGTTAAGGCCTGACAGAACATGATCATAACAGAGAAGATGTCAATGGCTTTACAAACAAGCTGTGATTATTTGAAGTAGTTTCTCTTATCTGCCATGTTCCATGTGTTTTATAGTGCTGTAATCTACTCATTCTGATCTTTGTAGGCCTCAAAAAAGGCCTAAAATGTGCAATCTGGCAATTTTTGAGCACTCAGAAGGCCTGATTTGGCCAGTCCAGCAAAGATTTTGACTTTTTGAGGCCTGGTAGCACAATCTGAACATTTTTTGCTAATCTTACACATGCCTGAATTTATCCGGCACAATTTGGCCAACTTTTGACAAACTTCCACCCGGCCTCCCAACATATTTTCGGGGGTCCTCCTTGCACCTCGTCCGGGGACCGGGACGGACTGCATGCTGGCGTGGTGACAAGGATGTATGCAGTAATCTCCCGAAGAATGACTAGAAAGTCTGGACTAGCAACGTAAGCGGTAGTCGGCCCCGTTGTCATTGAGACTCATTTGCGTGAGGAACAAGCGAAGGCTGTCTAAACGCGTACATGAGCAAGATGACTCCTTTGATGGATTAAATGAGACCACGTGCCATAGACGCGTCGCGTCCAAGTCTCCCTCTCGGTTTTCGCTTCCCGACCACATGTGACATGACTTCTCCTACTATAAAACCATTCCACAACAGCATGTCTCCATCCTCAGAGCCCCTCATGTCTTTCCCTGTCCTTGACAATCTCGCAGACGGTGACCTCATCCACCAGCGTTTCGTCCTCGTCACAGGCACCATCTCCTCGCTCAACGAGCTGAATGAAAGCGCGTCGCCGTACATCACCGTAGACACCCTATCCTTCCCATCTCAAACGTTCCCGATCTCGCCTGAGACAGGCGCGTGGAAGGCCCTCGTGCATCTGCAGCCCGGTCCTCAGACCATATCTTTCACCTTGAACGGCAACGCCAGCGCTACGCTCGTTGTCTCGAATGTTTCCTATCTCCCTCTGCTTCATATTGCTCCCTTGCATCTAGCGATCATGGTCGCGAAGGACAGCCCCCAGTGGATGGACTGTCCTCCCGATAAGGCTGCCAGCCCTTCTCACCGAGACCTCGCCGCCGCTATCAAGAAGATGCGGATGTTAGTATCCGTCCACCCTTAACCTGAATCGCTGAATCATTCTGGTTTCTAGGTGGGCTTACATGTGTCAAGCATACACCGCCGAGGAGATGCGCAAGAATGGCTTTGGTCGCCGCAGGTCAGTCTCTGCGCGGTTCGCTTTGATCGCGCTGAGCGCCTTTACAATGTTCATCGTGGATTCTTATCATCAATGGACAGCTTCCGTCTCGAAGAGGAATGGGCTCAGGACACGCTCAGCATCGCAGACGAAGAGCCTACCTGGCGCGTGACCGCGAAAGTGCACACCATCAAGTCCGAATACACAACCGCACAGATTCGCAACTCGAACCTGGCACAGCAGAATCCGAGGGCGGGCAACAAAGGTAGACCGGTTCGTTCGCAATACCTGCCATGACTGACCCTGCGATGCGCAGACGGGCTGTACAACTACTTCCACCAGGCAATCGGGCGGTATGCGGGTCCCTTCCAGGTGTTCAAAGGCGAGAGCGAAGGTCCTGTTATCGCAGGACTGATTCTCGATTCACAGTGCGTGACCTACTCTTGTGCACGAGGCGTTTTGTAGATTGATTTTGATCCAATAACGCAGTTATGACCCTGCCCACGACCTGATTACCGGCCACGCAGCTCTCGGCGGGACAGGCGGAGAGCATGGCAAGGTGCACCTTGGGTGAGTGTACGGTGTCAAATCGACGGAGGCTCAAGCTCATTCTATCATTTGTGACGCCCAACAGGATGTTTGGAAGCCACACGCACTGGGCATGGCCACGCTTCGTAGAGGAGATGGTGCCCTGCTTGCTCGATGCGACCCGCGTGACAGCGCGCAGTGGCGTTGGAAATGACAATGGTGAGCTCATTCTTGGGCCAACAGGCATCGCCAGACTAACGTGAGCGCGAAGGCGAGTGTGGGACATATTGGGAGGCGTGCTGTATAGGACAGGGCGCGGCGCTGCATGAAGTCGGGCATGCTTTCGGGTTACCACATCAGTCTTCAGGTCAGCTGCTGCATCCATAGATCGCAGAACGAGGCATGCTCAATGTGTGATGCTAGGAATTATGAGCCGTGGCTATGTCGAGTGGAACAGGAGCTTCGTTGCCAAAGGTGAGTTCAGTCGGTATCGGCATGCATGTATCTTGCTCATATGTGCAGAGAGCTATTCTGCGCGCCTAAAAACCCCTGGACGCCTTTCCATGCCTGCGAAAACTTCAAATCATTGGCACCTCGCTGATATGCTTCATCTCGCGATTCACCCTTTGTTCGCACTGCCAGGGGATAAACCGCGCACCAGCACCAAGGCAGCGATCTCGATGCAGCCGCTGAGGGACCGCGTAGTCATCAAGAGCGAGCGGGGAATCGCATTGGTGACATGGACGCGGAACGGGCGGCTCGTACGGGAAGAAGACATGCGAGCCAGGGGACTGCTGGATTTTGTGCTGAAGCTGGACGAGGTGCACAAGGACTTCGATGAGACCGATGCGAAGAGGGAAGACAAGGAGACACCTGTGAAGATCGGCTTGACGGTTACGGCCGGTGATGGCGCGCAGAAGACGATCGAGGATTTCTGGGAGTACACGAGTGAGGCACTTGTGACGCTCCCCGGGTGCGAGTTTGTGGTGAAGAAGAAGAGCGTGATGAGCGGGGGCCCCGAGGGCAGCTGGGGAGTATGGCGATGGGCGGTGCTGCTCACGAAGCTCGGCAAAAAGGGCCAAGGTGCGCTCATTGTTCTGGTCGTTCACAGGATAGCCGTTGACCGCGCACGTGCAGTCATTCGTGCGAAGAAGCTGCAGATCCAGAGGGGCGCGTGGTTCGACGGGGTGTATGTGCACTACGAAGACGGCACGCGTGAGATCATGGGTGCGAAAACAACTGCGCACGGCGGCGAGATGCAGCTCGGCGGGGGTACGACGTGGTTGAGTATTGGTGAGGATGAGACAATCAAGAGCCTGAAAATACGCGCGGGTGAGTATGGGTTTGTGAACGAGGTCAAATTTGTCAAGGGAGAGGTTGCTGGTGCAGTCCCAAATGGGATGGAGGAGCTGAAGCCAGATGAGGGAGAAAAGATCAGTGAGTCGCGCCCCTTGCGTCTTTTTGGCCTTTTCACTGATCCCTCTCTTTAAGTCGGATTCTATGGTGAGAACTCCCGACCAAGGTAGTTGAACGATGAGACTGACTTTTTTTTCACTTCGTCGCATACAGGAAAACATCAAGTACGCCCCTGATTGCATTTTATTTGCTCGAATGCTCATCCAGTCTGCAGCATGACAACGGGTATTGCCCCACCCTCGAGTTCGGGATCTTGACCATACCCGCAGGTGCTGAGCTTCCAAAGGAGGCGTACGAAATCCCTGCGCTGCGAAATACTGATGGCGGGTCGGCTGTGACTCAGGCAGGAGGGAACGGAGAGGCACAAGGGAATGACGAGAAAGACGAGGAAGACGACGGGTATATTAGTGATGGAGATGAGATGGAGGAATGATGGCATGGTGGTATCGAAGATGGGAATAATGGACTATGGTGCTAACGATCCATTTTGGTGGAATATCAAGGGCATATATATCATTCTGGGGCATTTAATCCATTTTTTTTGGAGAATTGCAATCGCAGAGTTAGCTAGGATATATCGCAAGATACGCACGGATCACATACCAAATTTCAGTACATGTCCTGCAATGTGAGAAGCTGTCCCAAGGTTGTTTGCAATGCGCGGCGCGCGCAAGCACCAGACGCGTCCCTCCGAGTTGAGCTCGGCGTTTGCCGGATGGTTCGTTCTGGCGGCAGGCCTCCTCATCAGGCGATGTCCGTAACACTGCGCTGTCCAGCTCAACCTTCCATCCCCTCATTGTCTTCATGGCCTCCTGGTCCTGGCCCCGTCAGACCTACTGCCACGGTCCAGCCGCCGAAGGCCACCTGCACACCGGTAATTCAAGGTCCGCCTTTGTCCACAGCACCACTCGGCGGGGCTTCTTGTCCAAGCACCAAACGAGCCACCCGTGGCTCTTACGTCACCGCCGCGAGCTTTGACCTCCTCCAGAGCCCATAAATACCCTGCCTCAAACCAAGAGCCTCTTCTCCCAGCACACTCACCCGCAACCCACCACCGAACACCATCCAACGTCTCCCACTTCTCCATATACTCATCACAATGTCCGGATTCCAAGCACTCCTTGACGCTGCACACTATGCATCCCAGGTGCGCCCACTGCCGTCTGCTTCTCGCCGTGTGTCCTGTCGCTAACGCCTTATGGTAGGAGCAGCACTCGTATGCAAACTACGAGTACTCGTCCACCGCGTTCAATGACGCGTCGTGGGGCTTGTGCACCGACAATGTCCCCACCTTCGAGCCATCCTCCCCGCCGTCCATGCCACACCTCATGCGATGGAGCGGCGAGCACGGCCTGACCCCGGCCTTTAGTACGCCTCGCTCATTGACCGGCCCTTCCTCCAGCTCCTTCCCTCGCGCTGCCGCCGGCCCTCAACGTCGAGCCAAGGCGCACAAGCGTAGCGTACGCTTTGCGTACACGCAGACGACTGCAGAGGAACGGCGCGCGCTCAAGAAGCGCCCGTCTACCCCCCTACCGACGCTCTGCAAGGCGTTGCCCCCATCCCCCGCCTCCGACCTCGGTGCCCCCTCCTCTGCGCCCTCCTCTGACTCGGAGTCCTCCTCTCCCCCGCGTCTCCCCAAGCTTCGCATCGCCGGTGGCAGATCCCTCGCGTTCATGTGCCTGCAGCTAGCCAACAGCACAATATAATGCCACCCACGGGCACGACGCATCCTGGTCATATCTCCCCTTACGGATCCGCCGGCAGCGCGTTCCCAGCGCGGGGGAAGCCAATGGGAGAGCCACAGGAGTATCTCGACGCGCGTCTGCGCCGGCACGCCTTTCGGCCCACAGAGCTTCTGTACGTAGTTTGATCGAGTGTTTTTCGCATGGGTCGGGCGCCATGGCGCTCACGCGTTTCGTCGGTCAAGGGCAGTGCATTCCAGCCGCTCTGACTACTTCCGAGCCTCCTCAATAGTCGTGCCGTGGAGCTTGTCTGTTGTTTTATCGGCCGCACCGCGGAGATGGATCGCAAACCGGGAAGAGTTATTGACGCATTCATGCAACCGCAAGGACGATGGGCTGCATGATTTTTTTTATTTTTTATTCTTATCCCGCCGTTTCTTGTGGCATCTAGGGTATCCAGGGAGGGGGGCTGTGTACTAGTGATTCTGTGTCTCTGAGTGTTTCCCGCGCTGTTTTTGTTGTAGTCTACTAGGTCCGAAGTGCTTGGGCCTCGATGAATTGTTCCTTCGTTCGAATAAGGCGCGCGGGTGACGATGTCGTCGGTGGTGAGGGCAGACCAATCGGCCGGCGTGAATGAATGAATGAATGAAATCGGGGCTGGAGCGGCAAAGGCCGAGGGCGTGGGAAGATTGCAATGCGCATGCGGCGCGCTCGACGACGCCCGCGACGACGACCACTCCTTCCTCCTCCCCTCCGCACACGTCTCCCGCATCCCCTCCAGCCATGAAGCGCTCTCTCACGTCGGGAAGATCAGCGTCGCCCACAAACACAACATACTCGGGCATCTCCAACTACCGCACAGAGTCGTACCGGCCCATCAAGGACGCTGCGCCGCTCGACCCCCGCCTCATCGCCCGCACCCACTTCGAGGAGCTGAACCGCTACCTCGCCTCCTACCTCGCCAAAGGTATCTCTCTCTCTCTTCTCTTCATCGCACTCGACGTCCGCGCTAGACTCTTCTCACAGAGCCCGCAAACTCCCGCTCGACCGCCCGTCAGAAGCTCACCCGCCTCACCCGCCAGCAGTTCCAGGAGCTCTCCACCGACGTATATGATGAGCTTGTCCGCCGCAAGAACAACGCGGACACCAACGACAGTAATCTCATCCCTTCGCGCCCTCTCGCGCCCCCTCTCACGCTCTCTTGCAGTTCCCTTTCTCCCCGTCCGCGACGACTTTCACCCGAAGCGCAACCAAGCCCGCCAAAAGCTCGCTACCCTGCCCACCTCTCGCTTCAAGGATCTCTCCAGCGATGTCTACTACGAGCTCGCGCGGCGATACCCAGAGTTCAAGGAAGAGGTCTGTCCCGCCTCCGTCCGCCTCCCATTCCTGCCTCCCGCACTCACTCCATCGTCAGACAGAGAATCCACCCAGCCAATCCCCCGGCTCCACCTACGACGACTATCCCTCCCCCGACTTCCCCACGTCCCCCCGCTCAAACGGCCCCACCCCGCCTCCCAACCCCCGCCTCACCCGCACTTCCGACGATCGCGATCGCCCCGGCAGCAGCGGCACCCGCCGCCGTCCTAGCGAAGACGATTTTGGCTCCTCTAACCGCCGCAGCGAAGACCCTTACGGCGGTGTCGGCGACGACGCACCCTTCCCCCCGTCCTCGCGTCGACGGCCCTCCGAAGACCTGCGCCAGGACCCCGCCGGCCGCCGCCCGAGCGCAGCCAGCGCGAGTGACTCGACCAGCACCACCAACGCCCAGAGCGCCACCGCCAAGAGCCAAATGATCATCCCCAACAAGAGCACCATCGCAGAGGAGGACATCGAGGTCCCCTACGGCCGTGACGCGCGCGAGAGCGGCAGCACCGCCGGCGAGGAGCCCGACCCGGACGATATGGAGGGCGGCCTCAGCGCGCTCACCCGCCGCCTCGGCAGCGTCGACGAGGACGCGGGCGGGCGCAGTGGCGGCGACGACTATTACGACAAGATGTCATTCGGGCGCGCGTCCGTCGCATCCGATCGCTCGCTCAAGAACGGCCGCGCGAGCGTCGGCGCAGGCGAGGAGCATGAGAAGATGCGCCGCGACTACGAGTTCAAGATCGCCACCATGCAGAGCCGCATCGCCGGCCTCGAGCGCGAGGTCGAGGGCGCGGGCGAGAGGGAGCGCCACAGGACGGAGAGCGACGAGCGCGTTCAGCAGCTTGAGGCCGAACTCGGCGAGCTCAGGCGGGTGAGTCATCCGTCGTGCGTGTCCTGCCGTCTGTTCAACCCCCCTTCGTGCAGCGCGCAGAGGAGCAGAGCGCCACGATGCTTGCAATCCAAAAGGAGCTCGCCGACGCGCGGGAGGACCACGAGCGCACGCGGGAGCGCGAGGCGCGCCGCGCGCGCGAAGACGAGGACGAGCTGCAAATCCTGCGCGAGCGCTGCGAGCGGCTCGAGGACGAGCGCTGCGAGCGGCTCGAGGACGAGCGCGCGGGCGGCATCGGCGGCGCCAATCCCGAGATCATGGACCAGCTGCGCTCTGACATGGAGGGCCTCCTCGCGGAGGTCTCTGACCTCTCGCGGCGCAACGACGAGCTGATGACCTCGAAAGACTCAGACCTCGTTGTCATCCGCGACATGGACATCCAGCTCAAGGACTACAAGCGCAAGTACGAGCAGGCCAAGACCGAGCTCCGGAGCCTCAAAGGTGCGCTCTCGTCTCTCGTCCCCGTGCACGAGTGTCGGCTGACCGCGCCCTACACAGCCACCTCGCAGATATTCCTACAAACGCCCAAGTTCGACGAGCAGCTGCCCATGTCGCAGGACGGCGGCATCCCCGACATCCACGTCACCGCCTTTTTGACCGCGATCGACAACCTCCTCTCCGCCGGGCGGTCCAACGCCCCGACGCGCGTCCTCACGCCCATGAAAGCCGTCGTGAACGCGGTTTCCGCCATCGTCGATGACGTCCGCGCGTACGAGCGCCGCCCGCGGCGGGACCGCGCCCCCGAGGCAGACCTCGATCTGCTCCACGCGCTGCGCGAGCGCGCCGAGGCGACCCTTGGCAACCTCGTCGCCGCCTCCAAGACGCACGCCACCAGCTCCGGCCTGTCCCCTGTCAGCCTCCTCGACGCCGCCGCGAGCCACGTCTCGGCCGCGGTTACCGAGATCGGCCGCGCGGTGTTCATCCGCAGGGCGACTAAGCAGGAGCAGGAGCAGTACGCGCCCGCGCCTGCGCCAGCGTCCGCTTCGAACGGGTTCTCGCCCACTCTGCGCTCAGTCGAGGAAGCGAAGCCAGCGGCATCCGCGCAGCGCGCGAGCTCGTCATCGGCCTCGAACAGGCGCGTTGACCGCTCCGAGGAGGAGTACTACCCGCTGCAGCTCAACCTACTCCGCCAGCAACCGCCCGACTCGGCCGGGTCGCAGTCGGGGCGCACGCCGTTCTCGGGGCGCTCGTCGGGCGACGGCCGCTCCCGCAAGGCGTCGTCGGAGCGCTCGAGCTCCGCGGGCAGCTCACCGCCGCCGATCTTTGACCGGGTGCCTACGGGGAGCACGACGGGCGTGCTCAGCGACGACTCGGCGGTCGCGGAGGGCTCCGAGGATGCTTGGACGGAGCTCAAGGTACGTTTATGCTCCGGTTCGTTCTCCCATCGCTCACGTTTTCGCAGCCCTATCTCGAGGCGCAGACCGAGTCGATCGTCTATGCCATCCAGAGCGTGCTGTCCGGCGTCCGCTCCCCGACGCCCTCGCCGACGCTCAACGAGAACCTCACGCAGATCATCACGATCGTGTCCAGCATCGTCGCCGTCTGCCACGACAACCTCCCGCCCGCGTCGGCGCAGCAGGGGAACGATATTTTGCACGAGCTCAGCGACCACGCGAACAAGCTCAGCGAGGTCCAGGCCATGCCCGAGGTGACCAAGGAGTCGCGGCAGATCATGGCCAAGTCGAGCTTCGCCATCGCCAACGCGATGAAGGGACTGATGAAGTTGTAGTCCCCCGGCCCATCGCTTGGACTTGAGGGGCTGGGTCTTTCTATCGTTTGCCACACGCATGCATGCATGCATGCTACTGCTGCTTGTTCGATATGTATTCGTTTACATGAGTGACGCCCGTTGTCCTACCCCTGCAGCCTCCGCATCCGGCGGGATGGGCAGCTCGCCGCTCCTGTCCGAGACAAACGCAGCGTAGCTGGGGGCATTGGTCAGTGACGGATGACTTGGGTGGGACGAGAACTGCGCTAGCGTACATTCTCCTTAGTCTTTTGATCTCATCGGGAGATACCGAGGGCCGCGTCGTTTTGAGGACACGATGAAGATGCTCGTCATGGATCTCGTGCTGTGTTGTGCTCGTTCAATATACAGATATTTTTTTGGTGTTACTGAGACCTGCACATTTACCTTGATTGGTTCCATGGCCGTCTTCTGATTGTCTGGGCTGTCCGGGGAGGACAGTAGCTGCTTGAGCTGTGTGCGAGGTCATTTGGAGTGCATGCAAAAGGCTTGGAGAAATTGTCACCCGTCGTTGGAGGGCAACCTCCTCTGCGCGAGACTTGACCCCAGTCTTCGAGACCGCACCCAACGAGACGTAATCCACGGGCTCATCGCTCGCGTCAGCGCTGCTGGTCGTCCCTGAACTAGTGCTGATGGACGCGTGGACGAGCTCAAGGTGGGCGTTGTACAGCAAGGCTTGGAGATCGGCCCCCGAGAACCCGTCCGTCGCCCGCGCCAAGGCATCAAAGTCGACGGATGGAGAGACGGGCACCTTGCGAGCGTGCGCTTGCAGGATCTGCGCGTGGCTAGGAAAGCACTTGAATTGGATCGGGATGGCTGAACGGGACTCACCTCCTTTCGCTCTTCCGCGGTGGGCATGTTGCACAGCAGGGACTTGTCGAGACGTCCCGGACGCAAGAGAGCGGGGTCGATGAGATCGGGTCGGCTGAGGAGGAGACTTTGAGTGTCGGATCGCTGACATCCAAGGGCTGTGATACGGACCTGGTGGCGGCGAGGACGTAGACACCGTCGAGTCCCTCGGCACCATCCATCAACGTGAGCAGTTGATTGACCACGCGGTCCGTGACGCCCGTGCTATCGTGTCCTCTGATCCCCTGTTTCGTAAGTGTCGGTCACAAATTTGCAAGGCCGTGGACGTGCCGTTTTGGGGCGATCGAGTCAAACTCGTCAAAGAACAGCACGCACGGCTTTGCGGCGTTGGCTCTCTCGAAGATATCCCGTACCTGCGCGAACCCCGTTAGTCTGAACACCGTCGATACCAAGGCAACCCACGCACAGACTTCTCGCTCGCACCAATGTACTTGTTGAGCAGCTCTGGGCCCTTGACGGTGATGAAGTTCAAGCCGCACTCTTTTGCGACGGCAGAGGCCAAGAGCGTCTTTCCGCATCCCGGATATCCGTACAACAACAGCCTGAACGCGTTTCAGAGCATCGTTCGAAAAGCATACCTCGCAATTCGACGTACCCTGAACGAAGCCGCAAAGGTGATTGATCGAATATGGCTGCGTACTTCGTCGGCCATTCCAGAGTCTCCCTGAGCGCCCGCCTAGTTTCGTTCAGTCCTATGCACTCTAGCGTCAGCAATCCTATCATGCTTATCATAGGTGCAAACATTACCTCCGATATCGGCCCATTCAACAGTCGACTTTTGCAAAGGCACATCCCGCAAAGACAATGGCGTAAAACCCAACTGCGCCGCTTGGAAATCGCCCATTGTCAACGAGACCTACAACGTATCCTAGTAAGAATCGTCGCAGTTTCGAGTACACGGTCGTTTCGCACCTGTGCGTCCACTCCCGATGCTCCCTTAGATGACCGAATCGCAGCCTGATGGACTGCCCTGGCGACAAGGTCCTGCATGTCCGTCGCTGAGTAGCCCTCTGTCTCTGTCGACAATGCTACGAAATCAAGCGGTAACGCCTCGTCGATCACCAAGTTTGAAGCGGTGACCAGGCGTCCCTTGACAAGCTGGCTGATGATCTACGTCCTCAGCCAAACATCCTCAATGACACGCATGCAGGGTCAACGCGATGTGTGAAACCCACCTGCTTTCGTGCGTCCTTTCCTGGCGGCTTCAGGTGAACAGTTTGCTTGAAAACATGCTTGGTGCTGAGCAGCGGATGAAGCGAGGACTGGGATTGAGCCGTCGCGAGGATGAGGATGCCCGTCGTATTTGGTGTGATATCATGAGTAGCATTCGAGAACATCGAGACAAATATCTCCGTCAGCTGGCGCGTCCGGAACGAGTCTGCATGCTACGAAACTTATATCAAGAGCGCTGATAGAGTATGACGAGGTCGGCTCTACCTCAAGCTCGGCACTGAGCAACTTGTCCATATTGTCAAACACGAGAACCGTGGGCCGATGCCACATGGCCTTGTCGAGCCAGTACTGAAATTGTGAGCGTATGGCAGAAATCGACTTCTCTGTGTATCGGGAGAGGTCGACATAATAGGTGACTGCTCGCAGGGATGGAAGGCGGATACAATATCAGGTCAGCTCTATATCGATTGCAGGCGGAAACTTGTGATTTCAAAGATTGAGAGTGCCTACCCACACGCGTGTGTCCTCGGGTCCCATTGCAGCGCCTTCATTGTTGCTTGAGCGATAGATGTCTTCCCGGCGCCCGTACGGCCCGTGATCAACAAGCCTGACACTAGCACCAGAGGTATATGAAACAAGTATAAAGTGACGAGGATGGAAAGGCACGCACGTCCTGTCAACATCTTCGCCCTGTAAAGAGAAAACATATGGTTGCAAAAGGTTTGGCATTTGGTAAGCAGGTCGTCGACGCCTGCGAGGGTGTGGATGGGAGGCGGGGTCTGGGACGGACTGTGATTCGTGTCATCTTGCGTGAAATGACCCAAAAAAGACTATACTGACGATAACACAGGGGTTATAGAGGCAGAAGCAGAAGCATCCGAGTCTGCTGCGATGAAGAGTCTGGCCTACATGTCAGTTTTGTTGATGACCGTGCTACACGGCTGACTGACCGGACGAGGCCCCATTCTGCTACTCCATCAGTTCCACCAACAAATACGACGTGCCCTTGGGGCACGCTTTCGTTTCCGCAGACGAGGACCTCAGATTGATCCTTTTTCTCCTTCTGAGAGCTATTCTTAGCTGCCTCGGCCGCTCCAGGATGCAGAACCTGGGCAGATGGCGCTACCGCAGAGGAATCCGCATTCGAAGGTCCCTCTGACGGATCGGGTGGGGGCAATAATCGCTGAACGTCACCTTGAAATACTTGGATGTCTGTATTTAGCCTGCCTTCGAAACGGAGAGCGCTCAATGTTTGCGAGGAGACGCAGGCGATCGTCTGTAACTCGGACGACTGCGAAATGGATACGGAGACGAGCGACGACGGAAGGACGCGAAGCTGAAGCCCAACAGTCCGTGATTTGGAGGCTCCAGAGGGGGTAGAGTTGGACGGCGGAACAATCTCCACCGGGGGTGCTGAAGATGAAGTTGCTTTTCTCACAGGGGTGAGGCGAGGACGACGCGTCTTCGGGGCGATCGACACTTCGGTGTTAGTGGTGAGGATGAGAGCCTTGGAATCGGATGGGTCAAGGGAGACTGCGTCGTATCGAAGTCACGGCTATGAGAGCTCCGGGTAGAAGCAAGCAAAGCCAAGGGTACGTACCAACGCGTAGGCGGATGCGTGTGCGACCGAGGACCCAAACATCAATTTCTTGACCAACGGATGCGACGCGGACTTGTGAGAGCAGTGTAGACTCTACTTGGTCGGCGTGGAGTTCCTGCAACGCGTGTAAAGAGATGTTGTAGACTAAGAGAGTGCGACAGTACCAGAATTTCCCAGTCATCTGCGGTGAGCGGTTCCGTCGCGACAGACTTGGCTGTAGGCAAGTCATGCAAGAGACCAATTTCGACCTGCGAGCAGGAAGTAAGTCAAGAAGGATTCATAGTTTGTAGTATCGCACAATGTCGCCCTGGGAAAGCCCAAGTCCTTGAGCATACTGTGGGTCGATCTCAACGGTCTCAAGGTTCTCTGTGCGGTCAACGGCATTGAAGTGGGCTAAAGACGAGGCAGAGAGCATGCCAGTCCAGCCAACGTAAGCATCGACTCTGTTCACAGCCGAAGGCCGCTTGGACGAGAGGGACAGTGCAGGACTGGTGCATGTGAGGAGAACGGCAACATGTTGCGGGCGCTAGAACGAGTGCAGTCAATGGGTGAGAGACGACGAGAGAGAAAGAAGGACTTGCGATATTGCGCTCGAGCAGAGGGCCGTAGATGGAGATGGGGAGGTTGACAAGTGAGGAGCGGAGGGAAAGCAAGTGAATGCGAGCGCGTCGAGGCATTCGATGGTGGAGGCCTGTGCAGGCTCGCGAGTCGGCGTCGAGCGCGTCCACATACATATCACATGCTTGTCCGGGGCCTTCACAGCTTCACACTCGAGCAGGTTCACTATCCATTGAATTCAACCTCGAAAAATCTCAACAGCATGCTACCTACTCGCGGTAATGTTTCCGGTGGCCCTCTCCTTCAAAGCCCTCGATATGCGTCCGAGTCACCTGGTAAGCACGCTCTTTTCCAAGCTCTCATCCTTGATATATATAGTCATCGAAATCCACCAACTGAGCGTCTCCCCTTACAACAAGATCTTCCATGCATATGGCCAGGTCAATGTCGTGGGTCCCGGCATGATCTTTGGATATGTCTCCACCGAACGGGTTAACAAGAACACACCAGCGGAAGTGTTCTCGCAAAATTCTATCATCTGGGGCGAAGGACGGAGGCCCTGAATGCTAGGGTAGATGAGCAGGCAGCTGCGCGCACCCAAGGTCTCAAAATAACACGATACGATACTCGTTCTTCGAGGCACGCCTGTGAGTGACGATCATAATCGAGCGGAACCTACAGGGAAATCGAAGAACAGTACGAGGTGCAAAGGTTCAAAAATGAGGATATCGACTCCTAGAGGCATTACTAACGGACTGGTGTTAGAGATGGGTAAATACACGTCATTCCCCAAGCGTAGGTCTTCAGAGCAAAAGAAAGCAGGAAACCGAGTCCTACTATACAAAGGAAACAATCTGGACGCGTGAGCGGTCTGTTTACACCACCACGAGATCATGGAATGAATTTCGAAGGCGTGGAAGTGGCCCACTTCTTCCCTCTTGCATGGTTCGATATGGTGAGTGCAGTTAGGGTATCTGGCCAAAGTGCCCGGCCTCTCGCTGATATGATCTGGATAGTCATCAGAAGTCAAGGACTTGAAGGGTGAGGCTACCCATGATGCTCTCAAGAAGTCCTATGATTCGTCCGAGAACGGCATCCTATTGCGGAAGGGCATACATGATCATCAGTTTGGAATCAGCGTGTGTTTTCTATACAGGCTTCTCATTCACAGGCTCCATAATGACTGATGGAATTCAAGAATGGCGCTATATATAGATTTGAAAAGTCTGGCACCTCCAGTTTATCCAATATAAGCCCAGATCTCAAGCAGCCTGTGAAGGATGCACCTCCTCGTCCCGACTCAGACGATCCTCCTCGTCCCGACTCAGATGACTCTTCTCGTTCCGACTCAAATGATCCTCCTCGTCCGATTCAGAGGATCCCTCTCGTCCTAGGTTAAAGAATCCTCGTTTTGGTTCAGATGTCCCGGATTTGAATCAAGACTTCCTTGATCTCCATCACAAGATCGGTGTCTTATTGAACGTCGCGGGCGGCGGTAAGGAGAAGCGACGGAGTACAATCCTGTGGAAGAAGCCTGATAAACCTGACCAAGGTTGCCTGTCCAGACCCACCCCACTAAAGAAACGTCGATAGTGAATGATTGTCGAGGTTATCATACTCCACTGAGTGGACGGATGTGTATGTGGCCGAGATGATGTAGACATGGATTGATTGAGCATCACATCCTGTACCGGCTTTACATACGATATAACATGCTCTACCAGAACATCATGAAAGCTCCGTGGCACACGTCAGCGAGAGAAGGGTACAGCACACTGAGCCAGTACTGTCCAGTCCGCCAAGCATTTTCATCCACAACCGACATGGCGCTGACCACGCAGCGACAAGTGACTCGGGCGGATCAGGATTGCACACGTACTCGCGCAGGGACGCGCTTCTCGCGACTCCGAGAACACAGGTGCATTCGAGCCAGACACGAACCCACAAAAGCCCGATACCGCAACACCCACCGTTTGGCGCCCATCCCCCCACGTCGCTCGCTCGGCCAAGAACATCCCGAAGCGCTCCGCGCGCGACCCGCAGACGCGTCCATGAAGGAGGCTCCTCCTCCCACCGCGTCGGACAGAACCGTCGGACGCAGGGCCGCGAGGAACCTCGAGGGACTTCGAGGAGCTCGGCTGACCCGATGGCGCCATCGAAGCCGCGTCCAAAACCGTCGGCGCACCCCCGAAGCCCCATTCGCACCCGAGGTCAAGTGGACTCGCGCGTCCGTACGCCCAAAGGGCAAAGGCCAGATGTGGGACCCGCGTCGCGCACACGCTCGCGCGTCCCCGAGTTCCCCCGAATTCGGATTTCGCGCGCGCTCAACCCTGAGGTTCCATGTCGGCAAGCGTGCGGGTTCCATCCGGTGCTCGCATCGCAAGAAACAAGCACAGGCGAGCGCAAGCCGCACCCCGCATCCGTGTCGTCGTGTGGCCGCGCAATAGAATCCCGCAGAGGTCCTCCAAGCCAAAACGGACAATGGCGTCACCGCGTTCCCATGCGCCGCTTCGCAGGATGTATAAGAACGGACCGTCCAGCACCCGTCTCGCTCAGCAGCTCACACAGCCCCTATAGCCTGTCAGCAGCTTCAAACGCACCCACACTCAGACTACACACTCGCCATGCCCGTCAATCTCAGCCCCAGCAACAGCGACCCGCGCAAGTTCAAGGTCGCCGCCGTGCAAGCCGAGCCGTGCGTCGTCTCCGCCTCCGTCTCCTCCGTCCGATCCCACTCCTGACGTTCTTGTTCGCGCCCGCCGCGGTCGCAGCGTCTGGCTCGATCTGCAGGGCAGCGTCGACAAGACCATCCGGCTCATCCGCGACGCCGCGGCCAAGGGCGCCAAGATCATCGGCCTGCCCGAGGTCTTCATCCCCGGTGCGCTCCCCCCGCTGGCTCTGACCGCGGGCCCAAACGCTGAACCGCACGTGCGTCGCCGCCGCTCCTCCAGGGTACCCGTGGACGCCGTGGTGCAACGACTTTGTCTCCTGCCAGCCCCTGCTCGCGCGCTACCAGGCCAACTCGCTCGCGGTGCACTCGCCCGAGATGGACCGCATCCGCGCGGCCGTCAAGGAGCTCGGGGTGTACGTCGTGCTCGGGTTCTCCGAGCGCGACGGCGGCTCGCTCTACATCGTGCGTGTCCGCGCATCCTTTCCTTTCCTCTCCTCGTCGTCGCGTGAACGCGGGCTCACGGGTGTGCCAGGCGCAAGCGACGATCTCCGAGACGGGCGAGATCATCAACCACCGGCGCAAGATCAAGCCCACGCACTACGAAAAGACGATCTTTGGCGACGGCAGCGGTACGTCCCGCGCGCGCGCTCCCACAGACACCGCTCACACGGCCACGGCCACGGCCTCCCCCTCTCAGCCCAGTCGATCCACAACGTCGTGCAGACGCCGTACGGGCGCCTCGGCTCGCTCAACTGCTGGGAGCAGATCCAGGTTCGGCCCCAATCTGAGCTGCGCGGCGGACGGCCTGCTGACGTCGTAGCGCGCAGCCCGCGCTGAAGCTGCACTTCTACTCGCAGCTGCCGCAGATCTTCGTCGGCGGGTGGTGGCCCGCGTTCCCCGCGCACACGGGCGGCGCGCCGTACATCGTCTCGGGCGAGGCGTCCGCGCGCATGACGCAGGCCGTGTCGATGGAGGGCGGGTGCTTCGGGCTGACGGCGTGCCACGTCGTGAGCGAGGAGGGCGCGAAGATCATGATGATGGACAAGTACCCCTGGTTCAAGGTGCGTGGCGCCCGCGCTTGCCGCGCTCGGGGCGGGGTTTTTTTTTTCGTGCTCATGTGAGTTTGCCGCGCTGCGTAGTTCCCAGGAGGCGGGTTCACGACGGTGAGTGCGCCGCACGGGCTATATACAGCGGGTGTAGGGGTCCTGAGCAGCGCGACGCGCGTTAGATATACGGACCTGACGGAGCGGCGCTGACGGCGCCGATCGACCCGGGCGTGGAGGAGACGGCGATCGCAGAGATCTCGCTGGACATGATCGGGGACATCAAGATCGTCGCAGACCAGATGGGCAACTAGTGAGTGTTCCCGCCTGCGCTTCGGCGGCGGCGACGCAGAGAGCTGATATGGACGACGCGCGTAGCTCGCGGCACGACCTGATGCACCTCGTCGCGCACGGGAAGAACTGGCGCCCGGTGGAGTACGCGGACGGGGAGGAGCAGAAGGGCCTGGAGGGGCGGATCGCGGACGTGGCGAACGATAGCGCGTTCGCGACACCGAAGATCTGAAGGCAGCGAGGGACGAGCAGAGTGGGCCGCGGAGTGTGTGTGTATTAGTAGCGAGTGAAATACGAGATGCTGGTGATCCGGACCCATTGTCGAGCTGTCAAGTGGTGAGCGCAGCGCGCGCGCGACGCGAGCGTGGGCGTGCGCGGAGCCCAGTCCCTCTGCGCGACGCTGCACCCGCTGTCACGCAGTCTCCAGACGTCGCCGCCGCCGTTGCAGACTCGGCTGAGGGGCAACGCGCTCCGAGCACGAGGCGAGGTGTCGTTGTCATCGATCGACGCTCTCTGATCAGATGCGGGCTCCGCCGCGCACAGCTCTATACATGATCTGTCGACCAGCGCCCGGTGGAGTACGCGGACGAGGAGGAGCAGAGGGGGCTGGAGGGACGGATCGCGGACGTGGCGAACGATAGCGCGTTCGCGACACCGAAGATCTGAAGGTGGCGAGGGACGAGCGGAGTGGGCCGCGGAGTGTGTGTGTACGAGTAGCAAGTGAAATACGAGATGCGGGCGTGATGTCGTTGGGCGGGTCGTCGACGCGCGACGAGAGCGTGGGAGTTCTCGGAGCCCCAGTTGAGTGCGAGGCGGGGTCGGGCACTGGGGAACGCAGACCCTTAGCTCTGCGCGATGTTGCACCCGCCGTCACGCAGTTCGCAGACGTCGCCGCCGCTGAGGATGAGGCTGAGGGGCAACGAGCTCCGAGCACAAGGCGAGTTGGAGTCATTGAACGCTCTCTGGTTCGATGGGGGGCTCAGCCTGACGCGCCGCACAGGCGTGAAGAGGAAGCAGTTGAGGCGCCGCAGCCGACGCGAAGTGCCGACGAGGCCTGGGCGGGGTTACGACATGCAACGGCAGCTGGGTGAGCTGGCGGGAGCGGTGAGACAGGTGAGCAAAGGCGGCGAAAGGGGGGACGTGGGACCGATCTCCGAGAGCTGATGGAGCTGCAGCGGTCGTGCCGCGAATCGCACAGAGCACTGCTGCACGCGATTGTGGGCGGCATGCAGGACGCAGGCGAGACGCGACGAGGATGGGACGTGGAGGCGGGCGACGCGTTGGACGGGGAGGCGGACTTGTCTCGTGATTGAGAAGGGGCCGCGGGGTCGGGTGCGCGCAACGTGGTGCCGAGTGAGCGTGACGGGTGCGTGACGGGTGCGGATAAGGGCGCGGAGGGGACGGCCGCTGCGGAGCACGTGGCCCTGAACGCGTCCGCCACTTATCGCGCCCAAAATAAGCCCGGGCAGCCGCAACGGTCTCTTATAGCCTCCCCTCCGTCGCTCTCCATGCGTCCCCTCCATCCCTCGCCATGCACAACAGCCTACTCCCCCTCGCCTGCGCCCTCGCCCTCGCCCTCGCCGTCCTCGCATCCCCCGCCGCCGCCGCCGCCGCCGCCACCGCCACCGCCGCCCCCTCCAAGCGCGAGTTCTCCTCCGCCCACAAGGACACCAAGCTCCGCATCGTCAAGAACTCCGGCGTCTGCGAGACCACCCCCGGCGTCGGCCAGATATCAGGCTACATCGACGTCGGCCCCAACATGTCCATGGTCCGTCCCCCCGCCTCTCCACCCCGCAGCCGCTCATCTCCCCCCACAGTGGTTCTGGTTCTTCGAAGCCCGCGAAAGCCCAGAGACAGCCCCGTTCACGCTGTGGTGCGTCCCATCAGCCCTGCCGCGCGGCGCTCTTGACATCTTGACGCGCGCACAGGCTCAACGGCGGTCCAGGCTGCTCCTCCATGATCGGCCTCTTCCAAGGTGTGTCTTTCTCTCTTCTTCCTCCTCCCCCCCTTTGCCCGCTCACACCCGCACAGAGAACGGTCCCTGCAAGATCCTGCCCGACGGTCAGACCACCGTCCTCAATCCTTACAGGTCCGTTCTCTTTCCTGCTGCGCACCCGACATCGGCCCATCACATCGCGCCTTCCCACCAGCTGGAACTCCATCAGCAACAGTACGTCACCCCGCTTCAACCCTGTCCCTCGCGTCTTCCTCCGACGCCGCCCATCACCCCCAAGTGATCTACATCGACCAGCCCATCGGTACCGGCTTCTCCTTCGGCACCGACACCGTCAACAGCACAGAGGCTGCCGCCCCCTTCGTCTGGGAGGCCTTCCAGATCCTCTTCGAGAGCGGCGAGTTTGCAAAGTTCGCCAGCAGAGAGTCAGTCCGCGTCCTCCACGTCGCGTCGCGTCGCCCCAGTCTTCATGCAACCTCTGCCCAGGTTCATCTTCGCGACCGAGAGCTACGGCGGCCACTTTGGCCCCAGCTTCGTCACCTACTTTGACAAGCAGAACGCCCTCATCGACGCGCGCAAGCTCCACGGCGAAAAGGTCCTCGTCAGCGCCCTCATGATCAACAAGTGCGTCCGCCCCCACCCTTCCGCACATCCACCGCGCCGCTGAACCCGCTCCGCCGAGCCAGCGGCTGGTACGACCCGCTCCTGCAGAACGAGGCGTACGTCACCTTTGCCACCGACGCCCCCGGCTACGGCCCGCTCCAGAACGCGTCCGTCCTCGCCCAGCTCCACGCCGACTTTTACGAGCCGGGCGGGTGCAGGGACCGAGAGATCGCGTGCGAGGCCCTCGGCAACACCAACGACGCCAACGCCACCGCGAACCACATCTGCCGCACCGCGGACGACTTTTGCGTGCGTGCCCCCGTGCCCGCCCCCGCGCCCGCGCTCTCGCCCCTCTGCTGTCCCGCTCACCTCGCGCCGCCGTGTAGATCGACAACATCTTCGTCCCCGCCGTCGGCGACCGCGACTCGGACGACCTCCGCCAGAGCGCCGACTCGCCCACGCCCTTCCCGCCCGAGTTTTACCTCGACTTTCTCGCCAACGCCACCGTCAAGGCCCGCATCGGCGCGACGAGCACGTACAGCGAGTGCGCCGACGCGCCGTTCGAGCTGTTCGACCGCACCGGCGACGTGAGTCCCCGCGCGCGCGGCCTCGAACTTACTTATGCTCATGGCTTCGCGATATGCGCCGCAGGACGCGCGCTCGTGGCTCCCCGAGCTCGCCGCGCTAGCCAACTCGCGCCTCAAGCTCCTCATCTGGGTGCGCGCGCGCGCTTTGCTCCCGCTCCCCCGCTCCCGCTGACCCCCCGTTCAGGCCGGGGACGCCGATATCAAGTACGTCGCGCGCGCCTCTGCGGGAGACGCGCCTCCTGTCTGACGCTGACGCCGTGCTACCCCCCGCAGCTGCAACTGGCTCGGCGGGCACGCGTCCGTGCTCGCGATGGACTGGTACGGCAACGAGACCCTGCACGCGACCCTGTTCGCGAACATCACGATCGGCGGCACCGCCGTCGCCGCCGTGCAAAACGTGGACAACTTTTCGTTCGCGTGCGTCTTCGCGCGCGCCGTCTTGCCTGACCCCCACCTGACAGCTGCGTTTGCAGGCGGGTGTATGCGGCCGGACACGAAGTGGTAAGGCCGGCGGTGCCCACGTCCGAGTCTAATCCGCTCACGCTGACTTTTTTTGCCTCCCGCGCGCAGCCCGCGTTCCAGCCGCAAGCCGCGCTCGAGATCTTCGCGCAGGTGATCCGGAAGGAGCAGCTGCACTCTGTATGAGGATACCATCGCGTCGGTACGTCTCGTCTCGTGGCTGGTAGCGTGCGTGACTAGTCCGTCCGCCGTGCGGTCGAATATACCCCAATGATGTCTGTGGAGAATCCCGTGTCCGTGAGCTGTCCGAGTTGCGTGACTGCGGAGAATGGATTCTTTCTTGTGCGTGAATCGTACGATTTCCGTGAGCCGTCGAGTGCGCGACTGCTAGGCCGAGGGGAATCTCCCTGCCAGTTTATCGTCTCCGTTCTTGTGCATCCGTCTCCGTCCCGTGTGTGCACGCTCGAAAGGCCGCCACCGGCAGGCTATGCCTGCCTCTTCGTTGTCACAATTGACGACGGATGCCATGTCCTTCTCGCCATCAAAAACGGTACCCGACGCCGTTGGCCACAATGACTCGTCGTCTTGCCCGACCGTGCGTTCATGGGACTTTGGCATGCATCGCAGACGGGCAGGCCGACTGGTTGACTCGAGCGGTGAGTCGTGCTTGATACCGTGTCTGTCATGTCGCCTGGAAATCCGAGCCAGAGCGTTCCGTTCGAGCTCAGTCTCTTCGCCGCGACTGGCCGCTGCTCTGCTCTGCTGGGACAGTTGCGAGACGACTGTCGACGGCCATCTCTTGTCATACGAGCCTCGATTCGGATCTTGTCATATGAGCCTCGATGCTGATTCCATATAAAGGCCCGCCGCGAGTCGAGTTTGTGTCCACAGATCCAGCTTTACTCACACCCCCTCTTGATAACCACAATGCCCTCCGTCCGTGACGAGTATGCACTTGACGATCGTCGTCTCGGCATAGGCATCGTCCCTCCCCTTCCTCCTGTGGTTCGCAGCTCTGGCGAGACGATCACCGTCGGCATCATCGGCGCAGGCGTGGCGGGACTGTTCACCGCGATGCTCCTTGAAAAGGCGATCGAGGACCACGGCTTGGATATCAAGTACGAGATCTTGGAAGCCGAGACCGTCGAGGGGGGGGCATCCATTCGGCGGAAGGCTGTGGACTCATCGCTTTGGCGACTCGGAGAACGACTATTATGTGAGGCTTGGATCTCGCTCGCTGTGGTTGATTGGACGCTGATCTTGCACGCCGTCTCGCGTTCATGTCTCCTCCCCTCTTGCTAGGACCGCGGGGCGATGCGGTTTCCCGATATCGCGTACATGAAGCCCGCCAGGGACCTTTGCACCACGCTCGGACCCGATAGAGTCAAAATCCCGCATATCATGTCCACCCAGCAGAATATCGGCTTCTTCAACGGCAAACGTCTCGCCGACGTGGAACGCCAAATCAAAACCCACGCAAAAGAATACGACCCGTTCAGAACAGGGGCTCGGCTCAAAGGATCACCGGCACCGTAGACGAGACGGTCAGTAGGCAGATCGGACCTTTCAAAAGGGCCTTGAAAGATGGCTTTGATAACGGCCGGAAAGCGCTTATGGACTATGGTGCATATTCTAAGCGTGCGTGTATGCGTCAGTGTGGAACCGTTCCTCATGGCGAGTATGACGATCAGGTCAGGTTTGCGCTGACAACATCCCTTTACTCCATAACTCACACAACTGGGAACTGACAGGTCATCTCCTACCTGGAGATCTTTGATACGGGGACTGGATTTTATGATCTGGCGCTTTCGGAAATCGTATTAGACTTCCTAGATTTTGAGTATGACGGCGATGAGATGTGGTACTGCATCCAGTAAGCTGTTCCGCGCATCTGATCGTTAAGTTCAGTTTCGCAGTGTTTCCCTATTAGGGGTGATGCCAGCGTTATAGCGAATGCGATGGCACAGAAACTACCCGAAGGAAAGATTTTCAACGGCAAGCGTGTTACGGCGATTGCTCCTACCACCTCTAGAGATCAACCCCCTCGCACGTACTCCCATGTCATCTCGACCATCTCGCTTTCGTGCCTCCGTATGGTTGATACTTCGCATTGCAAATTCTCGTGGGGCCTGCAGACCGCTATACGTAGCCTGCATTACGCCACATCCACCAAAGTTACGATCAAGTTCAATGAGAGGTGGTGGGAACGGATGGGACAGGTCGGCGGAGTATCCAACACGGATCGTCCGACGCGAGCTGTCGTCTATCCTTCCTATGGCATTGGTGGCACCGACGCAACCATGATTGTTAGCTACACGTGGGCACAGGATGTGTCGCGCTTCAGTCCGTTTTCCGGCAATCGCGATTCGGAAAAGGCTCCACTGGACGTCATCTCGAGGGATCTCGCCGACATGCATGGCACCAAGGATCACAACGATCTCCGTAACCTGGTGTCCGATCATGGTGTGTGGTCCTGAGACACTCAAGAAAACTCAGCAGATGTGGTTCAGTTCGAACGATACGATTCGGGTTCATTTGTTTGACATTTCGCTGCGATCCATGTTCCAGGTGCATTTGCTCACTTCGGCCCAGGGCAGTTCTCGCAACTCTATCCCCAAGTGACCAAGCCCGCAGCCAACGGGAAGCTTCACTTCGCCGGAGAGGCCACCAGCGTCTATCATGGGTGAGTACTGACACGAGCCGTGACATCCATCCTTTCTGAATATATCGCATTTCGTAGCTGGGTGGTCAGTGCGCTCAACAGCGCTGCCAGGGCTATCTACGAGCTAGTAAGTCTTGGTGTCTTGACCCAAATTATCCAGGTCTCAAGTGTGTAATCAGGCCTATTGTGAGGGCCGAGAAGATCTCGTACAGGAGGTTTAAGGCTCCTGGCGTCTCGCCGATATCGAAATCGATCTTTGCAAGAAACAGGTTGCATTGGGATTGGTAGGGTACCGATGCTGCGTAGCAAGATGATGAGTCGAAGCAAGATGTATGAGTAGCACTACAAGAGGTGTAGGCCGTGATATTCACAGAGCTTTGGGGTGGCCAATACACCTGGTGTCTTCCTGAACCTCACCAACGGCGTTACTAGATTTACGACGCAGTCAAGTTTGACCTTGGGGCAGGTTCAACTTTGACGCTTTCTACAGTGCGAGAATCTCCAACATCGCTTCCTTGGATCGTCCCCAAAGGACCTGCTTGACTTCGTCTAGAGTCACAACCCTCTTACACATCCCACTCGTTTCTTCACATACTGCTAGATTTTTGTCAGTGATGCCTGGTAAACTTCGCAACAACTCCTCCGCATCCGTATCATCCCAGGAGGAGAGAAGCCTCAGTTCTCTGTACTCGTATAACCCCTCGTTGCATTCGATGCATCTCTCCTCTTCCTCTCCACGCACAGCACCAGACCACTCCTCACCGTCTCGCTTGCCGTCCTCACCCAGCTCCGTGTTTTACATGTCAGGCGAGTGCAAGAGCCATCATATTGCCTGCGAAGCCTCAGCAACGCTGACAACGCCAACCCCTCCGCGAACCGCATCTGCCGCGCCGATGACTTTGGCGTCCCTGTGTTACTGTGCAGCCTGCCTTTCAGCGCAAGCCGCGCTTGAGTGCTTCCCACAGGTCATCCGGAAGGACTTCATTTGATCGGAGGAGCCCGAGTCGTCAAGTTGATAGGTTCACCGGTTGGTAGCGCGCGTGATCGTCTGTGTCACGGTCATATAAACCTAGATTTGAAGCGCATCATTTATGAAACGTCTTGAAAAGCGCCCGTGCGCGTTTCCGTGATCCATCCGAGTTTCGTGAGGAAACGAAATGGATGCTATCGTTGAACTGTCTCCTCTCGATGGGCATGTATGTCGGTCATGCGTGGCCTTTCTGACTCTTTCATTTGTCCACTTGACCACCTCTATCCACAGCCTCGCCCACGTTGAGGGACTATCAAGCAGGGCAACCTCCAAATAGAGAACGGGCCTGTTTCAGCTCTGGCGCGGCCCAGCATTGTTTTTTCAGATGTTTTGGTGTCCATTCTGGCATCGCTTCGGCCTCAGCTATAAAGGTCTGTCATGGAGCAATGCTTGTTCAAACACTTCGCGATTAATTCTACCCCTTGCTCACTGCAATGCCGTCCGTTCGCGACCAGTACGCTCACAAGATACTCTGCGAGTATCAGGACCACGCGGTTCCTCCGACCCTCCCTTTCCCCGAACCCCCGAACCCTCTCAGACGTATTTCAGACGAACCGATCACCATCGGCATCATCGGTGCAGGCGTGGCGGGACTGTTCACCGCGATGCTCCTTGAGAAGGCGATCAAGAACAATGGCTTGAACATTAGGTACGAAATTTTGGAAGCCGAGCGCGCCGACGGGAGGCACCCTTTCGGCGGAAGGCTGTGGACTCACCGCTTTAGCGACTCGAGGAACGACTACTATGTGAGGCTTTAATTTCGCTCGCTCGAGGGTATTGTACGCTGACCTTGCACGCCTTCTCGCGTTCATCTACTCTCCTTCTCTCATGCTAGGACCGCGGGGCGATGCGGTTCCCTGATATTCCTTGGATGAAGCCTGTTATGGATCTCTTTACCGAACTCGGACTCGACAACGTCAAGATTCCGTATATCATGTCCGTCGATGACAACATCAACTTCTTCAACGGAGAACGCCTCACCAATGCGCAACTACAAATCAAAGGTCAGGCGAAGGAATATGACCCTTTTAGAACGCAGGTCAAGGGAATCACCGGCACCGTCGACGAAATGGTCAAAAGGCAGATCGAACCCTTCAGAACTGCCTTGAAGGCCGACTTCGACAAGGGCTGGGCAGCTCTCATGAAATACGATGCGTGGTCTACACGTGGATACATGCATCTGCATGGAACCGCTCCCTACGGCACTTATGACGACCAGGTCAGGTTCGCATTAACAGCTTTGCTCATTTGGTGGACTCACACGATACGGTATTGACAGGTTATTTCTTATTTGGAGACCTTCGATACAGGCACTGGTCTTTATGATCGGGCACTCTCGGAAACTGTGATGGACTCGCTCGACTTTGACTACGATGACGATCAGACGTGGTACTGCATCCAGTAAGCCTTGATCTGCGCACTGGGGCGATGACTTTTAACAAAAGTTTCTTTCAGAGGTGGCTCCAGCGTTATCGCCGAAGCGATGGCACAGAGACTACCTCGAGAAAAAATCGTCAACGGCAAGCGTGTTACGGCGATTGCTCCTACCTCTGGGCACAACCTGAATGTCACGATATCTGGAGAGCGCTCCCCTCGCACGTACTCCCATGTCATCTCGACCATCCCGCTTTCGTGCCTCCGTATGGTTGATACTTCGCAATGCAATTTCTCGTGGGATCTCCAGTCCGCTATGCGCAGCCTGCGCTACGATGCAGCCACTAAAGTTGGAATCAAATTCAAAGAGAGATGGTGGGAACGGATGGGACAGGTCGGCGGAGTGTCCAACACGGATCGTCCGACGCGAGTTGTCGTCTATCCTTCCTATGGCATTGGTGGCACCGACGCAACCATGATTGTTAGCTACACGTGGGCACAAGATGCGTTGCGCTTTGGCGCATTTTCCGGCAATAACGACTCGGAGAAGGTTCTTCTGGACGTGATCCTGAAGGATCTCGCCGATATGCATGACATCAAGGATCACAGCTATCTCCATGAACTGGTGTCTGATTATGATGTTTGGTCCTGGTACGATCAAGAAAACGCGGCAGGTGCGTTCTGTTCGAACGACATGGATCAGGCTTATCAATTGACAATCTGCCGCGCTTGGGACTCAGGTGCATATGCCCTCTTTGGTCCTGGACAGTTTACGCAACTCTATCCCCAAATCACTAAGCCTGCAGCCAACGGGAAGTTTCACTTTGCCGGGGAGGCCGCCAGTGTCCATCATGCGTGAGTAATCAGTCATGATGCCAGATCCTGTCTCTTCATGATTTGATGTGTATGATAGCTGGGTGCTAGGTGCACTCAATAGCGCTGCCAGAGCTGTTAATGAACTTGTGAGCCTTGACAACAGATCTCAAATTTTACCAGTGTTCAGGTATGCGTCAGGGTATATGTGAATGCCGAGAAGATCTCGTACAGGCGGTTCAAGCCTCCTGGAGCCTCCCCGATACCGAGATCGACCTTTGCAAGAAACAGGTCGCGTTGGGACTGGCCGGGTACTGATGCTGTGTGGTACTGAGGACGAGAAATGGCAGCGAAATGTATGAGTAGCATGTGCAGGTCGTAGTATTCACGGTTGTCTGGAGTAGCTATAACCTGTTGTCTTCCTTAACCCCGCCGCACCGAAATTGGTATCAGATTTACAACGCGGTAGTACCTGTCATTGTCACCAGCCAGACTTACAGTGTTGGACAACAAGTATGCCTGCTGAGCGGCGTGGTCAACCTTGACGCTCTCCCCAGTGCAAGAATTCCCAACATCGCTTTCCTGGATCGTCCCCAAGGACCTGCTTGACTTCCTCTAGAGTCATATCGCACAACCCTCTCACACTTCCCACTCGTCTCTTCACATATGCTAGATTCTTGTCAGTGATGCCTGGTAAACTTCTCAACAACTCCTCTGCAGCTGCATCATCCCTTTCCCCGTCTCCCGCAGCACCTTCATTGGTATCTCGCTCCGCACCTATCCCAATGGCATGGCGAACATCGGGTTCGGGCAAGTTTGCCTTGAGATCATTGAAGATATCGGCGGTCGCGTAAGGGGAAGAAGACCAGATGATGCGAACGCGCGGGAAGGTGAGCGTCAAGAGGACGAGTTTCGATTGAATCGATGGAGGTGCGGAGGGTTCAGAACCCGTCGCTTTGTTCTTGGACGGGTGCTTGCTCGTTGGCTTCGCGTATGTTTTCATGTCTTGTATGATCTATGGGTGGTGAATGGATGCGACTGAAACGAGAAATGATCAAGGACCTACCTCTAGCGAGAACGACTTGTATTCTTCAAACTCGATGAGCAAGATGGGCTGCTTGTAATGGACCGACATGAGTTCGCATTGGGTGTAGCTGGAGGTTCGTCCATCATATCAGCTGGGCAATTGTTGCGAACAGGTCTCGACCCACAGTCGTCCGCTATTGAAACTCGACACCAGATCAGGTATACTCTTCCTCTCAACACAGATATCAGGCGTTAAAATGTAATCTCCCACAATCAGCGTCGCCGGAATCACGAGTAATTTAGATGCGTGCAGCAACGATGGCAGCGTGGACCGAAACTCGCGCATGTCAACGACAACCTGCATTGGGCTCAGGACTCATCCGCCAGATTCGAGAGTCAAAGGCGCACCTTCGAGGGCTCAGTCGACACCTCCTTTCTTCCTCCAGCCACCCGTGTGCTGATCGTCTTGATCATCGCTTCACCTGCCTCGGTTCCAGCTCGATGGTCTTCGATTATAGGCATAAGCATTGTCTGCATGGAAACCACATCGTCAGAAACGGATGATTCAGTGATAAAATGCAAAATCTCCTCACTCCACGCTCCTTGATCAGCCTCTCAAACGCATCCTTTTCTCTCCTCAAGCCTGCAAGGTATTTGTGCTCTTCGCAGCTCGTCTGATAAAGCATGAAATACACCCGAATACCCAGCCCAGGATTGGAGCTGCGATACACCTAGGATATCACACAACGGCGATGGGACGCAGTGTATCAGCGATGACTACTAAATCATCGATACATCAGTCGAGCTTCAGAAAGCGTTCAGCTCACCTCGATGCGCCGTATAAAATCCTGGTTGGGCTCAAAAATGACGATGAAGCGCGGCTGAATCTCGGCCAACATACGATCATCGCTGTCGTCCGAATATCCACGCACAAGGACCGTTTGCTGAGGCGGTAATAGCCCGTAGAACTCGTCAAACTGAGATTGTATTGACGAGATATCTTCGGAAAGCGACAGAGCAAGTGCAAGGTCTTCATCGAACGCTTTGTGTGCCTCAGGATCTGGAACATCGGGTCCGCCACCAGATGCAGGGGAATTGTGGGCGGCTAGACTAGAAGTTGATCGTGAATGGCGCGTCAGTCGGACAGTCATGGATCAGGTGGAACAATATCACACAATTTAGCAATATTGTCGGCTTCATCCCTCATCACCTCTTCCCCGAGTGACATCCCTAATCTCTCATTTCTCTTCGAACCTCTATCATTCTGTCCTGCCGATACTGTACCGGAAGCGCCTCCCCTAACCCTCCGTCTGCTCGCCATCCGATCTCTCTTGTCTCTGTCCTTCTTCTTGAGCGCCTCGGATATTTCTTCACTCGCCGGCCTAGGGACTGGTTTGTCAGACGGTTTTTCGGAAGGCCTCGCCTTCTTGTCGTCGTTTAGTTTTGCCTTCCACCATAGATACCCGCGTAGCTTGGCTTCCATCATTTGCCGACCCTGAGCACCTGGAGCCGCTTCAGGGTCCATGGACGACAAGAATTCGTTGAGGGCGGTGGAAGTCTGGGTGGACGAAGTCATGACGAGAACAGTGTTGGTTCCTTTGGATGCTATCAACGATATTGAGCGTCGCATTCAGATTTCCAGAATATCATGATATACGTACACATGCCCGCCGACTCTTGCCTCATGATTTCTTCCTCAATCTCCTTCAACACCTCAGCCAAAAGACTCCACTTGGGAAGCTCCTCCAGAACCATATCCATCCCGCCAGGCAGCCACTTCGGTCTTCTCCGCTCGACTGCTTTACCTTTGTCTTTGTTGCCGCTCTGACCCTGAATCTCGTCCAGGGCATCCCAAGCGTCTTCGTCATCGACCAAGTCAATGACAGGAGGGCGTGATACAGTAGGTGCGGCGAGCGTGTAACATCGCCTTTTTGCACTTTGAAAAATGATGTGTGCAGCATCAGTCAGTAGCCACGGCGAATGATTCTGACGAGCGGCGCCAGAGGCTGAGATAGAATTAGATGCAATTATGCTTTCAAGGTAGGCGTGGAACGCAAGGGCGTCGTAGGTGAGAAGATATCTTTGGCGCAAGATTTTGATTATTGATCTAAACATAAGTTTGAAGTGCGTACGTTAGAAGTCGACGGAGCGTTGCGAGGTCGTTTACGAGTTGTTTAGTCCGAGGGCCAACTTTGTGCCACACGGGATCAAGCTGCCTGCGCACGATCGCGTCGAATGATCGGAAGTAGGCGTTTTCGACATTCAGGTCATCCAGGTCCAACTGTGTAGGCACGCCGTTAATTCCTGAGAGATAGATACAGTAGCGTACACGAGAGGATGAAATGAACTTGCCGTCGTATTTGAACGCTTGAGTTCGGAGAGAGTCGTACTCATGCATTGGACGATGCCACTGTGAATGTCGTTCATAAGCTTCGTCATGGGCTGATACAGCTCGATGACATCGGCCCGATTCTTCTCAAGCGAATCTTTTACACTCGTGTGGAATCTGTTGGAAATATAGAGATCATTTGTCATGCGAGACTGTGCTTCACTAACCGCGGATAGATGTGGACTGTCCGTAACTGCAGCTCCTTCATGATGTTCTTCAATGGAGAGAGCCCCGAAGTGATATGCTCGGGTTGATCAGAGAAAGCTTTGAGAAATCCCTTTTTGTTCTTCTCGCGATAGAGGCGGACGATGAATGCTTCAAGGGACAATGCGTTGACCCTATGTGCTCCAGATGAGCCCGAAGATGCGAACAAGACACAATCAAGAAATGACGGGCCTTTCGGCATGCAGCATGAGGAGACCTGTGATGAGGTCTGTAGGAATGTCTGATTGTAGCATGTCGACGACAAGAATCCGGGACGTCACGGATATCAAGCCCCCTTTCTTGTATAGATCCTGCCTGAATGGATTCAGAATGAGCAGGGTGTCCAGTGTTATGTCTACTGGAATTGAGCACACTGAAGACACGAGCCAAGGCGCCCGTCTCATTCGTCGAAGAAAACTCACCTGTCTTTCTTTGGCATTTCATAGCCCACCATACGCAAGCCAGGGTTCCTGCATCCCATGATCCCTAGCTCTTCCCCGATGGCGGCTTCTTCCTCGGGGGACGCGTTCACGAGTAGGACGAGGTTCTGGGGCGAGTCGTATATCTGCATCAGGGTGCATAATATCTTGCGAAGGCCAAGGCCACGGGCAAGGAGGAGAAGGTCACTCGTCAAGGGGTCGTGAAAGTGCTCGAGAATGGAGAGGTGGAAGGGTAAGAGGTCGTGGTTGAGAATGTCGGAACTCATGGTGCGTCCAGGAGTGCTTGAAGAATAAATTGAATCATAAAGTAATTCGGACGCTCGAGACGAAGAAAGGATGCACAGCGGTCTATTGAGCAACTCAGACTCTGCGAGCCAAGGACGTGGTAGCAGATCAAAGTCAAGCCTGATTAAACGCGACGCAATTGCCTTTCTTGTCCACCCCAGCATGGCACCCGCCCCCGTCAGCCTCGTCCTCCAGGCCGTAGGCGCACTCACAATCGCCTATCTCCTGCTCTCTTTCTCCTCTGTTCTTCTTCGCGCGTTTGTCTTGCCCGGAAAGCCTGTCCGTCTATTTTTCTCCGATTTTCTTCATCAACTCACACTTTCTCAGTTGAAAAAGTTTGGGGCAAAGCAAGGCGCTTGGGCAGGTGCGTTCTCTTTTCTCCAATCACCGACCTCCTCTCACATTCCAGTAGTGGTGACGGGTGCTTCCGATGGGATTGGTCGCGAATTCGCTCTCCAGCTCGCGCGAGCGGGCTTCAATGTATTCCTCGCTGCTCGCAATCCCGACAAACTAGCTGCCGTGGCCTCGGAAATCTGTATGTCGATGTCGCCCCATCACATACTCTATTGACAACCATGCCCCTAGCGGACGTTCAGACTCGCACTTTTGCGATCGACTTTGCGCACGCTGATGACGCTGTCTACCAAAGTCTCTCCGACGCGCTCGCGGAACTTGATATCGGTGTTTTGGGTGCGTTCCGTTTTCTCACTTGATTCTATGTGCTCATTCCCTCCAGTGAACAACGTCGGAAAGTCCCATGAGATGCCATCCGATTTCGTCGATACCCCTGCTGATGAGATTCGTGACATCCTCGCCATCAACGTTTCCGCCACGTTGCGCGTCACCTCGCTCGTCACGCCGGGAATGGTCTCTCGTCATCGTGGATTGATCCTCAACATCGGGTCTTTCGGTGGTGCTGCCCCTGCCCCCATGCTCGCCACCTACGGCGCGTCCAAGGCTTTCTTGGCGACATTCTCCGACGCCCTCGCGGCCGAGCTCGGGCCCAAGGGCGTCACCGTGGAGCATTCTAACACTTACTTCGTCGTGTCATCCATGTCCAAGATCCGCCGCCCCTCACTGCTCATCCCGCTTCCAAACGCCTACGTTCGAGCCGTCCTGCGCGGGATCGCGCCCGGCACTCAGATTCCATATTGGTCGCATGCCCTCCTCGGCTTTGTTATGCGGCTAGCCCCCGCACAAGTCGTATTGCAGTACACTCATGCGTTGCATAAGGACATTCGAAAACGTGCTTTGAAGAAGAAGGAAAGGGAGGCCAAAAAGGCTTGAGTACTCTCAGCGGCCGTGGCTTGCAAGAGTTACAATAGATGGGTCAAAAATTTATGAGACGAATCAGAATCTACTCGGGGTTTGTCCACTTCTGTTGATCGAGAGCACGGTGCCGACTATCAGTATTCAAAGCGCAGCGATCGTCTTCGGTAGATATTCGCAGATATTCGCTTGCATTTGAGCTGTCACTCGCTCGCCTATTCGTATTTGGCCTTCCAAGTGCAAAACACGGCCCTTCACAGTAATGGACTAATGGCTTTGCGGGCCTCATCCATAACGAGGTGTTCTATTAATGCGATCGACGCGATCGTAGACCTTAGTGCAGTACAGCTGGCACATACTATTCAGCGATACATGTTTCTCGCAAGAACAAGGAGTCAGGTACACACTGCCTTCGCATTGATCACGCTCGAATTGAGTCGATGACGGCGTTCAGCATGCCAGATCTTCAATAGCCGTAAGATGTGAGATCTACTTGTACTCACCGAAGCGTCTCCCCAGCCCATCAATTCCATTAACGAACACGGGATCAAATATTGATGGCAGTGGCGATGATGTTCGAGATAATAATGAGCTCAAACACACACGAGGGAGTATAAGGGCAGAAACAGCGTCCATCCAGGGTCGAGCTTTCTCTCTCGTCAACGCTCATTTTACTCTGGCTGACTGGGTCGCCATAATCTTTCTTTTTCCTTGTTTCTTATTTATCACGACACACATCCAACTTCTGCAATCATTTAATTCCACCATGTCCACGACCTCTTATACTACATCGGACAGCAGCGACCTGTACTACCACCTCACTCCAGCTCAACGCCTTAGGCTCATCAAATCGACACGCAAGCTGGGAAAAATCCTGGGGACGACTCCACTACTCCATCTGACACCACCTGTACGTCCTACACTCAGACAGAGCAAATACCAGAACGAAGGCGTCATAGAGGAGTACGAGAATGTTATGATGCCGGCATCCACGACTCGAGCCGACGCGTCTCTGCTCGGTGACCCGAGCACTCGAGACGAGATGTGGTCAGACCAAGCTACGATGTCAGTTCCAGATGCAAGACAGCAAGGACTCCCCCGCTCCACCACGAATCCGCACGCCATCGAACACCCACACTCACCCACCATGCTTGCGCTTCGCAAGTCCTCCTGCAGAGGATCCACGACAGACGGGTCACTCCGATCTACACATGATGGCTCCGAACTCACTCGATCCAACCCTCGGTCGCCTATGACCCCTGGCCGATGGTCCAGACGGACCTCCTCCCTCTCTTTCATCTCCACCTCCACGTTGACGTCTCCACTGGGATTACGCTTCCCGTCTATGTATCAGATGTTCTCTGGAGTCTCTGAAAAAGCGGCAGAGAGAGCAGAGCAGAAGAAGAGGGCGAAGGAAGCGAAAACGCGGAGACAGAAGATGGAGAAGCTTACCCGGCACCTGGGCGAGAACGTGCCACCCGAGCTTGTTTTCCATGCAGATACACACCATATGCGACCCGACAAACGGATCATGAGGCGCAGCCGTTCGCTATCGAGCATGCAAACTTCGCGGTCTGGACACGAAGCTGTGAGGTCACAGAACCCGCGTGAGCGCCCTCTACCACCAATACCGCGACCATCGGCAGACATGGCGCGGGCCTACCTTCCACCACAACACGTCATTCTCTCCCCGAAGAGCCGATCATCGGATGGCCTGCAGCCTCCTATCCCACATTCCTTGGAAACCCCAAGTACGTACATACCTGTGCACATCACAGACGTTCCGGTCGCAAATATACCAGCATCAACAACTGCTATAGGTGCAGGAATTGCATCACGTCCAACGCACCTACGCCCGCGCCGCGCGGCTCCTCTTCCACGATTCGCATCGCTCTTCTACTCACAAGCGCGATTGGAGGCAGAATACGACGGCTGGGTTGCGGAGGAAGCTCGTTTGCGGCGCCAAGGCAGTGCCAATGCCAACATAGAAAGCGATATGGAGATTGTACCGCGGTCGGAGTCACGGCTGGCAAACCTCCTGGGAAGAGCAGGAGAGAGAGAGCGGTGGGAGCCTCCAGAGCTGGCGCACAGAAGAGAACAGAGACAGGGATGGAGTGGGGAATGGAATGCACCGAGCGTCCAGGACGTGATAGTCAAGCTGCGCGGGCTGAAGTGACACAGGGTGGGCTTGGAATGAGAGAGGTTTGCTGCGATAGTGTTCAGGACTTTAGTTTTCGATGGATTGGCAAACGGACAGCACATACCATCGACCTTTCATTTCTTCTGCGTCGGAAAAACCCTGTAACAGATGTAATTTTCTATTGGAATCGGTATGGAGCTGGATGAGATGTGCAACTGATGTGCAACGAGATTTACCGCTTGGCCGACCACCGGCAGGCTCGGCACCCTGTCCTGTTCTGTGCAAGGCTGGCCCCAACAGATTCAGGTACCACCGTCCCTTTCCCATGACAACATCCCATAAAATCTAAGTTACATACACGTAATCCCGGCCTCCGATCTCGACAAAGGATGTCCGCCAGCATCCATAATATCTATCCAAGGGCCATGCAGAACCATCGGGGAAGCGAAAGAATGGGATCGGATAATATGCATTAAATGAAAGTCTATCATACCATCCGTCCTCCACAACTCAGGGGCCCGTATATCGACGTGATCGTTATCCTCCGTCACCAGCAACCGGCTCTGGATTTCGTCATGTGAAGGGTCCAGTGGGGTTCTGTGCGTGTGTTCAACGATTGATAGAGTAAACCTCGCATATGAATGGTACACACCGGCTTTGACGAGCCCGAATGAGGGTCACTCGAACTTGCCATCTCGATTGTCTCCTGAGTGATGTAAAACTCGTGCAAAGTAGTGTGATGACGTTCGTCAAACGTCGTCGTCTTATGCTTGCTAGCCCCGGGGCCAAGGGGGCCACGTCCGTTTAGCCTGTGCAGGATTTATGTTGGAGTTAGAGAAGCTGAAGCGACTAGCCCCCGTTTGACGTACGAGGCAAAGAACGAATTCGAGTAGACTAGCGCGTTTGGATCAGCCAGCATCACGCAGTCCGTGAGAGCAATGAACATACGCTTGGGATAAAATGCAGACAACGCGATGTATAGTTCTGACAAGCAGATAAACAACTTTGAACGCGATTGGAAATCATTAAACGCAGCTTACCGCTATTCGGGAGTGCGATACACTTTCCTCCCGATCTCAGTGGACAAATTCAAGACTTGTAACATGAAATTACTCACAGCGATAAGCATCACTGTTGCGACCACACTGACATAGAGTTTATTTTCAGTGTCGAACGTGGTTCAGGAGACAGGGTCAACGCACCTCGTGAGCAGGCCGGTTTCTGATTTGCTCAACGTCAGCAGGGCGATGGTAGATGAGTGGTCTATTGGGGCTCACCGATGGTCCACGCGATGAGCCTCACGATGAGCTGGTCGGTTCTGAGGGTGAGGGGAGGTGAGATGCGTGTGCGAGTGTGGATGGTCGAACACGGTGACGCACTGCTTGAACCCTGTCCGATGGGTGTAGAGGAAAAAAGAGAGCGCAGTGGTGTTGACGGTGTCGATGAAGACGTCGAGTGCGATCGTTGCTATTGCTATCCACTTCCAGTGAGCAGTGAATTCTATCGGCCCAAACTTCTGCAGAGCGGTCGTGATGCCGACTGAGCCCAAGATCTCAAGAACGGAGCCTCCCCATGATATGAAGCTGATGTAGTGCCACCGCGAGAGTACCCAGATTCTGTAGGCGTAATACGCCTTTTGGACGGATGAGATCGGACGAGTGACCAGTCAAAAGACTGACCTGGACAAGGGCGCTGATGATGCCGTGGAAGACAATCGACAGACTGAGGCTCCAGTCTCTTTTGGTCAGGATAGACAAGTCGCCGTAGTTGAGCACCGTCACGCGATACAGGTATATCCAGAAACACAATGTATGGGCCGTCTCGAACAGCCTGTCAGAACGGCGAGTTAGCCACCTCGACGAGCGGAAAGGGAAGGACACTAACACGACGAGAATGACCTTGAATGGACGAGGTCGTCAGGACGATGCGGAAAGCGACATAGGAAGATGGGGATTCTTACCAACACACGGGTCCGAGCTGGATCCTTGAAGTTGCTTTTGTAATAGAAATAGATCTGGCAGCAGGTGACCGCGTAGAGGAACGTCGAGATGAGCGTCGACACTACGAGCCCGCTGAGCGAGGATTCAGGCATGAGAGGGGAGGGAGGATCTTAGTGCGCGCCCCCGCGACGAGGGTGGTCTTATATATGAACGCACGCACTCGGCTTGTCAGAAAAATCGATCACCCTTATTTCCGGTGATAACTTCTTTAGCTCTGCTCACCTTCTATGCTCGGAAAAAAGCGGTTCAATCGAGGCAACAGGCACATGTATTCTGCACGACGCCATAAAAGCGCCATAAAGAAGAAATGCGGCCGAATTGCTTCCTTGCGAGTTATCCGACATAAGTCAGGCTAGCTCAGGGCCTGTATTTTGCCTGACCACAAGGCGAGACTGGGCGAGACGGGGCAGACGAGGGCGGACACACGGCCCAAGAAGCCTAGCGCCACTGCTTTTGGAAATCACGCAGACAGATCAGGAAGCCTCAATTACGCACCAGATCTCAGATCCGCGACCTCGACTCGTCACGTGACAGTGCCCGTGCACGGAGATTCGGAGACATCGCGGCGAGCAGGAGCACTGACACCGACTCCTCCTTCGCCGAGCGCGACAATAGTCGAAGCAGCTAGTCGTCTTCGTGTCATCGTCGTTCCCCCCTGTGACGACCGACCGTTGGCCACAGCAAATCAGATCACGCTCATGCTCGACGTGCAAGCCCACGCTGCAGAGCACAATGGTTCTCGGTGGACAGGGGCGATGAGTTCGGGGCGCTCGTTCCCTGGATGGTTATGTACGTGCCAGCTCTGTGGTTGTGGCAACCCTTCCATAACTTGACCATACTTTTCCAAGGCTATCCATCGCGCCCAACGTAAAGCACCGCATTTAGGAGCCAAATCTCCTTTTTGGGTTCCCATATCAAGGTAGTGCTACCTCTATCTTGAGCGGCATCTGTTATGAATTTCTCTGCGTAATAAATACATCAGCTATACTAGCGGTGCACCAACTGATAGATCATACCCTTCACCTACTCTGTCAGTAACATGATGCGAATGGACATGAAACCCACGGTGGCGAGCGCCCGCCTCCCGAGCGCCAGTGGGCGCAGTCGATGGCATCCCAGGCCGTAGAGTCGGACCGCAGTTTCCCACTTAAGCTTCACAGTTTTCCGTGTTAAAACACCCATGTGCCCACCCCCACCATCGTTTGTTCGTTCTTCCCTGCAAGAGTCCTCAGCACGGACATCAGATGCTCAAGGCAATCGTTCGCCCCCGGTGGTCTCGCTTTGAGAGCATTCCTCATCCCGTTTCAACTCTTCCCCCTCCGACTTCTAAACGTCACCCTTTCTACACCTATGTCCGACGCCGACTGATTCGGCTGCTCACTGCCATCGTTTTCACCTGTGTTCTTGGAGTGTTTCTCCTACGCTCCTACATCTGGCAAGAGTCGGCCCCTCTCGTATTGCTCCCACCAGATCGAGACGAGACTCTTCCGCCAAACTATCACGACTGGTATGAAAAAGAGAAATCGTTGCCGCAGCACGACATCTCCTTGCCATATCCGCAGGGGAGTGAGGGGCATTATCTATGGATTGCCAACCATGCCACAGGTGCGCCCATCCTCTCTCAGCCTACACATGGACACAGTCCTCATATACGAGCTCAGGCGTCGGCTGGGGAAATGTCATGCAGGAGGCCCTGCTGAACGCGCATCTAGCTTATCTTTCACGAAGGATGTGAGTTTTTGAACTCATTTGCTGCGGTCCGCAGTGCGAGCTACTACCCCTCAAATTTTCACGGCTTGGCCCGATCTTGTCCTAAACGGAACCAAATTTACTGACTGCTGCGCTTTAGATATGTTTTCGACAGCTACACTTGGAACGCTGATACGGAGTACTCGGATTATAACGGCCATTTAATTCCCTCTCGCATCCCACTCACGGCGCTTGTCTCCGGTGAGTTCCTTTTCATGTCCCTCATTTTCATCTCTCTATCTCGGTTGCCGCACGGCCGACCCATTTCGAGAAAGTTCCCAGTGTGCGGAATTGTAGAGACCGGATTACATTTCTCGGTGCATCTGCTTCGATTCCAGGAGTGGTGTTAGAAAGGTGATAGCTTCCCTATCGGGGTGTACAATTGACGCCGTCTGATGTCTATCCAACGTGGTTTGCACGACAAGCCCACAGGCGCTCTTTTTAAACGCTCTCGTCACGATGAACCTTGTGCAGCGCTGATTAAGTTTGGTGCAGGGCCTATGGCAGGTGCGGCCTTCGTGGAACCCGAGACCCACCCCCCTGCAGTGATTCCCGAATTTTTCCACGAGGTCTGCCGCACAAAGACGGTCATTGACCCATCAGATATGAGGATCAAACTCTTTGATGCATCGGCCATGACAACGATCAGCGCATGGATCGATAAACTTGCACGAGTGGAGGACCGGTGTGTTGAGATCATGCCCAAGACAAACTCTATCTTTGAATTTTGGTAAAACAGCTCATCGATGCATCATTGGCTGTCATCTGACTTTATTATGGCACACAGGATCTTTGGCAGCTCAGCGCGGATGCTCGACATCTGGCCCTCTTTTTCCAAGTCTCCCATTTTAACCCAGTTTGCATGGTCGCCGCTAGTAATATCCGCTGTTGAATCGAATCGTGCGGTCGTACACCCATCCATCATTGACACGGGTAATAGTACGCAGGATCTTCGTGTGCCTCTTCCTGGGCTCCTAGCGCTTCATATACGAAGAGGGGACTTTGACGAGCACTGCAAACACTTCGCGCGGTGGTCATCGCGATACAACGCGTTCAACGAGATACCATCGTTGCCTGACAAATTCGAACCCCCGGAAGGCGGCGGCGCAGGAGAAAACACTCCGGAGAACTTCGAGATCTACGCCAAACATTGCTTTCCCACTATCGAACAAATTGTGGGGCGTGTTGCAGATGTGCTGAAGACGCCAGAGGGACAGAATATAAGCAGGGTGTATGTGCTGACGAACGGTAAAAGGGACTGGCTGGACGAGCTCAAATCCAAGTTGGGGGAGCTGAAGCAATGGGAGAGCGTGCACACAAGCCGAGATTTACATTTGAGCTGGGAACAGAAGTTCGTAGCTCAGGCGGTCGACATGCTGATCGCACAACGGGCAGAAGTATACATAGGAAACGGGGTAAGTATCTACTCGTCCAATACAGAGGTCAAACTCATATTGCTTTCGGATCATAGTTTTCGAGTTTGACGTCGAACGTCAATGTTTTGCGCCTATCTCACGGATTCAAGTCTGAGACAATTCGGTTCTGGTAACGCTGCTAGGCTTAGCTGGGTGATGCAAAATATACTATAGCGCTGTCGACCGGGCAGGTATAGAAGGGTACAGGCATCATATAAATTATTCGCTGTAATGTGACCGATTCTAAAGATCTGCTGCTAATTGCGCCCGGCTGCAGGGATTGAGCACCTTGTGGCGAACATCGGTGTGGTAAGACCAAGGCATCGTTTACCAGCGCACTAGCCAGAAATCCGGGAAATGAGATCCTAGATTGGAAATGTGTCAAACGGAATCAAATCTGGCGGTGCGGCCAGCACTGTACCATGTCAGGATGTGACTTTCGGCAGAGCGGATCATGCCGCTCGTTTGAAGCAGTTGATGGTACCCCCGGCTAACGTACAACCCTCATAATCGATCAGCGCGACAATCAGTGTGCAAAGGGGTCAAGACATTTCCATTTGTTGTGTAGAACAAACCATAGTCATACACTTCGTCCTCTCACTTGCCGTTGTAGTTTATTTTTAGGAGACTTCGACTCGGTTCAAGTACGACCTGCGCGAATACCATGCCCGATCGGCGCGTTTATTCGGAGGGGCGGTATTTGCGTTTCCATTTGCGTTGACAGCGTTGTTGGCCACTCCAGCATTCCCGACCACTCTGTTATTTCCGACTGCTCCGTTGTTACCGACCGCTCCATTGTTTCCGACCGCATTATTACCCACGGCCCCGTTGTTTTGATTTCCTCCATTATTGCCTGCGTTCACGTTCGGGGGCGGAGGTGCATTCGGGTTTGCATTGTTGGTATTTGGAGGAGGCGGAGGGCGGGCACCGTCTGAGCGAATAGTTTTGATCAAAAACCAGTATATGAAGCACAGATTAGCCATAACGCACTGTTTCGATTCCCTTGCCTACGGATATGGGGCGGCGGAGGAGCGGCATCCCTGGGGTGAGGAACAGGCGGAGGAGGCAGTGGAGATGAGAGCAGGGGACCTTCGGACACCAGGACGATGTTGAGAGAGCGTACTCGTGTATGAATACAAGTTGATGCTCACCGGCTCTCCTCGCAACACCGTCAGATGATACAACAGATCCATCGACTGCATTATCACTGGGCGACGTCGCGTTGGCAGCAACAATTGGACTTGGAGTGACGGTGCCAATCACAACGTGGTTTAGGTCGAGATCAACGGCGCGATGGTCAAGGGAAGAAGACGAGGGCGTCGGAGCAGCGTGCGCAAGGCTTGCTGAGAGCGCAAGGGTAAGAACGGCGATCCGCGTCAACGCGAACATGTCGAAAAATTTGGGGGGTTGCGAAAGAAAATAGAAAGGCTGGAGAGAGAGAAGCGAATGGTGCTCGACCTGTCAAAGGCTGCAAGATGGAGAACGAGACGGCATGGTCTTCGCGTCTTATAGTGCGTCAATGCCATCACAAGGAAACGGTGGTCGTACCCGCAGCAGAATAGCGAGTATCCATGAGCGCATATCCACGAAAAGCATGTTCTATGTGCCATGCCGACAAGCAAATCGCTGCGGAGAATCGCCATCCAACACACGGCTTGTGGACTCGGATAAGATATATATCAAGGGAGACATCGAGCAGAGCTAAGATCCATGGTTTGCAAACGGCGTGTGTCGAAAATTTGAGGCCATGCAATGACCACGCGCAGGTTCGATATACAAGGTATTCGCATGAGCGCTGGACAATGAAGAGCGGCGGCTTATTTTTCTGCAGTTGTGCTTGGCACCACATACTAGCCAAGACAGCAGCTGCAAGGTTGTGAGAAGTTGTGAAGTCTCGAGAAGAAGCATGCCGCCACATAGCTACCTGGATTCCATATCACAGGTAGAAACAGGGTCCAATGACTTGTGGGGAAGATATACGGGGGATTCAAGACCTAGATGAGATTGACTGACGTGCTTCTTCCCGCCCTTTTGAACAAGAGCATATGGCGACAAGACCAGTGGAGCCACTTCTTGCATTTATTGAAGAATGATTGAAGCCATCAATGAGCGTAACCTATCAAGGACAACCCTGATTCTGTAAACACCTGCTGTCAAGTCAACAAGAGAGGATCTGCTGCGCGAAGAGGCGAGAACCTGAATCTCATGAACTGCTGTAAAGCTGTCCAGCCTTGAGAAATCATGACATCGGGCATCGGGATAACGCACTGACGGGGACGCGAGCTGATGTTATGTAGGAAATCAAGGAGACGTCGCGCGCTCTGTAAGTTTGTTCGTCGCAATTGAATGCCATAGTAGACGGGAAAGTCCTGCCTTATTCCATAGTCTGGGGTCATGGGAGTGCTGCTGGAGTAGCGGCGACGCCATGAAGCCATGTTAAAGTCGGAGTCCGTAATCAGTTGTTTCTCCACTTCGTCCACGACCTGAGTTCCTCTCATACTCCATCTTGCTGCCCTTGAATTCAGGATACGCATTGTAGGGTGGTACTTGATCGAGCAGCACTTATCGCAGACCTAGCAAGAGCCGGGGCCCATCGCTGATTCCGCGCAAGCACATAAGTATGCATGCCGCCCGGCTCGCTGTACACTTTGAGCTTCAATCGTTTCCTTTCGGCAGCACACTTTTTGTCTATCCGACACCAAGATCTTCCTATTGGGCTGATCCGCGCTCTCGTCGTCCCCGATGGCTCCTGCACCGTGTCTGTCTCTGCGGAGCTTTCTGGTCGAAGCTGTTGACAGCTCCCTCCGCACCGTAGCGCCAAGCGGGTCTGTTTGCGGGGTTGAGGCTGTGAAGGCGCTCGCGAGACGGCGATCCTAACTTGTACTTGCTGCGGGAGTCTAGGCGCGACCCCGATGAATAACGTGTGTCGTTCTCACTAAATTCTTCCTCCAGGTGACAAGCGAGTGTCTTGGAATTCGTGGACTTTCTTTTATCACGACTCTGAGGCGACTGACTCAGTATACAAATGGCTTGCGTCAGTGGGAGGTGCTCGAAGCCGAAGAGACCTCAAGGCATCGCCCCGTGCCCCCGCCCATATTGCGCAGTCATTTTCTCGTGCAAGGTACGTCTGGGATCCGGGCCGACTATATATTTAGCAGGCATGGCGGGATCCCGACATTTGCTGCTGCGCATACCTGCGCCCGCCAGGAGGCGCGGCTATAAAGCGCAGGCATTCTGACCTTTCTACTCCAATATTTGCCTGCGCTCTCGACCACACTCTTTGCCTCTGGCGCCGTCCTTCTTTTTGTTTCCCCTCGACTTTGTTATCACCATGCTCGCGCTGTCTCGCCTCTTTGCCTTGTGTGCCCTCGGTTTGGCGGCCTCCGTGAGCGCCGCCCCGATCCAAGTAGCGCGCTCCTCCGCCTTGAGCGGCCAAGGTCCGTTAGCAGTGCGCGCGGCCAGCCTCGTCTCGCGCTCACCTTTGCGGCTCTGCAGGGACGTACTTTGCGCCCGGCCTCGGCGCGTGCGGGATCACGAACGCGGATACGGACTACATCGTGGCTGTGTCGACGACCGTCTTTGACAGCTACCCGTGCGCCTCTTGTCTCACGTACCGTGTCGCTCTGTGCTGATCGTCGTCTCTAACAGCGGCGCCACCGCCAACACGAACGAGTGTGTCTTTGCCTCGATCTGATCCTCATTGGCGATTCTTATTGTTATGCCCACAGTAACCCCATATGCAACCAGCAAATCACCGCGACGTGTAAGAACCTCTCTCCGTCTGCCGCGTGTGCGTGTCCCTCGCAAGGTCTGACGATATATGTCCGTCCGCAGATGGCACCAAGTCCGTGACGGTCACTGTCGTCGACCGCTGTGAAGGCTGCTCGGAGAACGACCTGGACTTTTCGCCCGTGGCGTTCCAGCAGCTCGCGGACGAGTCCCTGGGGCGGATCGACATCTCGTGGAGTTATGCAGACGGGACTGCCACGACGGCGGCCGCGGCGGCGTCCTCGTCTTCCTCCGCCGCGGCGGCGGTAGCGACCTCTACCGCGCGCACGGAGGCTTCCTCAGCGGCAGCCGCGTCGGCGTCCGCGCACACAAGCGGATTCGACCCCTCTCGCGGGTCCAAGTCGTGGAAGGAAGGCCCGCCGCGGTCTGCTTGATGCAGCGACGGCGGGGTTTGTCGGTGGCTGGATGACCTCTCCATGTGCACGGACACGGACAGTTCTGGGGCCATCGGACACTTGGCTGTTTCCCTCTTTACCTGTTTTGCGTGCGTCGTTCGTCGTTGGACCGTACATACGTAGAGTCTGGATGCGCCGCGTGCGGGGACCGTCGAGCGCTGCGCGCTGCCTGCGTTGCTGGCCACTCGGGTGCACGTCGATCACGGTGTCGTGGGCGGGACACCTATATATATTATCTTCTGCGATGATCGAGATTGAACGTTCTGAGGACTGCATTAAAGCTGCATCAAGTACTTATCCCCTCGGATCGACAGGAGGGCGACGCGCCCACTGTACTTGAGGCCGGGCCAAACAAGACGGCTGCTTATCGGGTCGTCGCAAGTGGAGGACATGATCGATATAACACCTATATAGCAGCGTATAACATGCACGGTCCGTCTGTGGATTATTCTAGGGAAGCGTATGCAGTACATCGGCAATGACATTGATAGTCCCAACGGCCAGCAGACGCGGGACGGGGACAGGACAGGGCCCGCTCCCCTGGGTGCCTGAGCACCGCGCCCCTCCCGCTCTTGCTCTTGCGCGCCCCGGCCCACTCCCCTGGGTGCCTGAGCACCGCGCCCCTCCCGCTCTTGCTCTTGCGCGCCCCGGCACACTCCCCTGGGTGCCTGAGCACCGCGCCCCTCCCGCTCTTGCTCTTGCGCGCCCCGGCCCACTATACACGCGGCGGAGGGCACGTGGCGGACGGCGTGCGCCCGCCTCAGGCCGCCTTTTCGCGCCGCGCGCTCGGCCCCGCGGCGTGCTGCGCGCCGGCGTCGCACTGCTCGCGCTGGTCGAGGAGCGCGCGGAGGAGCGCGCCCTGGGCGTCGATGGCGGCGGCGAGCTTGGCGACCTGCGCGGCGAGGTCGCTGTCGGACGCGTGCGGGGTCGCGTGGGCGTGGGCGTAAGCGTGGGCGTTGCGTGGGGAGGCGGGCGGCGGGGAGACGGGGCGGGGGGCGCGGGGGCGGCGGTGCGGCAGGGTGGGGGAGAGGGCTGTGGAGAAGAGGCGCGGGCTTTGTGGGGCCTGTGGGAGGATCTGCGGGAGAGGGATGAGGGGGATGAGCAGAGAGATGCAGGTCGGGGCGGGGCGGCGCACCTCGTCTTGTGTCATTTCGTTCCAGACGATGCTGAACTCGCGGCCGAGGACGAAGCTGGGGAGGGCGATGAGGAGGAGGCCGAAGACGAGGAGGGGGATGGTGATGAGGCGGCCGAGGAAGGAGCGCGGGGTGATCTCGCCGTAGCCGACGGTGGTGATCGCTGTGATGGGCGGGGGGGTGAGGGCGCGCGTTTAGGGACGGGACGGGAGGGGACTCACTGACGATGACGAACCTGGGCGGGCGTGCGGGCGGGGGTCAGATCAGTGGGGGGTGGGGGGAGTGTGCGGCGGACGTACCAGGCGGCTGCGGGGATGGACTGGAGGACGGAGGTGAGGCGGGAGCTGGGGGCGAGAGGGAGGGTGCGTGCGTACCGCAAACTGGCTAGGATCGCCGTCCGAGTTGATGAAGGTCTCGAGGATGTCATCCCAGGTGCCGCGTTCGATAAAGTAGCTACGGAGAGAGGTGAGAAGGGTGCAAGGGATGAGAGGAGGGGAGGACGGACAGGAGGGTGCTGAAGACGACGAGGACCATGAGGACGAAGAAGCTGAGGGCGAGGAGGGCGTGCTGGGAGCGGCGGAAGGAGAGGTACATGACCTCGATGGTGCTGGAGGAGGTTAGGATATCAGTGCGGGGCGGAGGAGGGAGAGGACAGCAGACGTGCAGGAGGAGGGTGTTGTTGTAGCGGAAGGGGCGGAATACGCGGAGGAGGCGGAAGGTGCGGAGGATGGAGAAGCGGAAGAGGGTGGACTGTGCGGGGCGCGGTGAGCAGAGCAGAGCAGAGCAGAGGGTAGAGGGGGAGGAAAAGAACGCGCACGGTGTCCTGCTGGAGGGCGATCTCGACATAGTAGGGGAGGATGGCGAGGAGGTCTATGATGCCGAAGAAGGCTGGGGAGGACGGGGGGAGGGGTCAGCGGCGACGAGGGCGATGGACGGAGAGAGAGGGAGAGAGCGGGCGATACGAACAGCCGAGCCAGGCGAAGAGGGAGGGCCAGGAGTAGCTCCATGCGAGGGAGCGGGCGACATACTCGACGGTGAAGAGGGCGACGAGGGAGGACTCGAGACCGAACCAGGTTGCGCCGGAGATGGAGTGGAATGCGGGGACGGTCTCGAGGATTGTGACGAGGGCGGAGAAGGCGATGAGGGAGGTGATGGAGAAGTGGACGAGGAAGGCGGCGGGGGAGGAGGTGGGGTGCTCGAGGAGGGCGAGGAGGTCGCGTTTCCAGGCGGGGCGGATGTCGGGGTCGAGGTCGAGGTGGTCGCTGCGGGCGGGGCCGTCGTCGAGGGCGGGGGCGTTGCGGGCGGGGGAGAGGACGGCGAGCGGGATGGAGGACGCCATCAGACGAGCAGCGCGACCGCGAGCGCACTCGCCGCAAAAAGATCGCGGTGCTACCAGGAGGCGCGGTACATGCAAAAGGTGCTACCAGGGTTCGAACCTGGGTTCCGGGAACATACGGTCAAAATCCCGAGTGATGACCACTACACTATAGCACCGTGGCACGGACGGCGCGGAGGCGGGCGATGTCGGCGCGGCAGCACAGCACTGCCCGGGGGTGGTTACTGTTAGCGCCCGCCGCCCTCTTCCGCCGCGTCCGTCATGAGCGACGCCTTTGTCCGCCTCGTCAGCCAGTCCAACCCCGCCGCGGGCTATCCCCCCTCCGCCAGCCCCTACTCGTCCCAGGGCCCAACCCTCCTCGACCCCTTCTTCGACGACGACGACGACCGCGATGGCCCCGACTCCGCCTTTGGCCCCATCCCCCCAATGCGCAGCACCTCCTCCGGCCTCCCCCTCGCCCGCGACCCCGCCCCCCTCGCAGGCCAGTCCAGCATCTCCGACGCCGTCCCCCAAGGCTGGACCTTCGACGACGACGACGACCCCGCACAGTCCTCCCAGCCACACCACCCTCCTCCACCAAAGTCCGCGCACAGCGCTCCCAGGCTGAAGTGGTCCTGGCCCTGGCGCAAGGAGCGCGTCCTCACCGGCGAGCGCGTCGTCGCACTCAACACCCCCGACGCAAACAACGACTTTCCCTCTAACTACGTCTCCACCACAAAGTACAACCTCCTCACCTTCGTTCCCAAGTTCATCTTCGGTCAGCCGCCCTCTCTCTCCCTCCTCGCTCACACGCTCACACGCTCCCCCGCAGAGCAATTCTCCAAATACGCCAACCTCTTCTTCCTCTTCACCGCCTGCATCCAGCAGATACCCGGCGTATCTCCCACAAACAAGTGGACCACCATCGCTCCCCTCTCCGTCGTCCTCCTCGCATCCGCCTTCAAAGAGGGTCAGGAGGACCTGGTGAGTCCGCGCGCGTTCTCCCCTCCCCCCCCCTACCCCGCTCATCCCCGCACAGAAACGCCACCAGTCAGACTCGGAGCTCAATGCCCGCAAGGCAAAGGTTCTCACGCAGGCAGCCACCTTTGACTCCAAAAGATGGAAGGACATCCGCGTCGGAGACCTCGTCCGCGTGGAGAACAACGACTTTATCCCCGCCGATCTCATCCTCATCAGCTCCTCCGAGCCAGAGGGCCTCTGCTTCATCGAAACCTCAAACCTCGACGGGTGCGCCCCCGCCCTCTCCGCCCCCTTTTTACTTGTCTGACCACCTCCCCCCAGCGAAACAAATCTAAAGATCAAACAGGCCTCGCCCCACACCGCCTCCCTCACCGCACCTCACCTCGTCACCGCCCTCCGCGGCTCTCTCCGATCAGAGCACCCCAACAACTCTCTCTACACTTACGAGGGCACCCTCGATCTCACCACCGCACAGGGTTTCCCAAAGCAGGTCCCGCTCGGCCCCGATCAGATGCTCCTCCGCGGCGCCCAGATCCGCAACACCCCCTGGGCTTACGGCCTCGTCGTCTTCACCGGCCACGAGACAAAGCTCATGCGCAACGCAACGTGAGTCGTGCCCGTGCCCGTCCGCGCCGTCGCTGACCGCACCTTCTCAAGCGCCGCACCCATCAAGCGCACCGCCGTCGAGCGGCAGGTCAACGTCCAGATCGTATTTCTCTTCATCCTCCTGCTCGCCCTCTCCCTCGGCTCCACCATCGGCAGCAGCATTCGCTCCGTGCGTTCCTCTCCTCTTGCTTCCGCACTCCCGGCTGACACACGGCCGCGCAGTGGTTTTTTGCGGACAAGCAATGGTACCTGCTCGAGACCACGTCCCTCTCCGGTCGCGGTGCGTCGCCCTACTTTTTTCACTCCCGTCTGCGCTCCTCTTACGCGCTCCTCCTCCACAGCTACGGGTTTCATCGAAGGTGAGCGGCCCCGTCTCTCGGCCTGGTCCCCGCTCCGCCCCGCCCCGTCTGATCCGCCCCGTCAGACATCTTGACGTTCATCATTCTCTACAACAACCTGATCCCCATCTCCCTCATCGTCACCATGGAGGTCGTCAAGTTCCAGCAGGCACAGCTCATCAACTCGGACCTCGACATGTACTACGCCAAGACGGACACCCCCGCCCTCTGCCGCACCTCCTCCCTCGTCGAGGAGCTTGGCCAGATCGAGTACGTCTTTTCCGACAAGACGGGCACCCTCACCTGCAACGAGATGGAGTTCCGTTGCTGCTCCATCGGCGGCACCGCCTACGCCGACGAGGTCGACGAGTCCCGGCGCGACGCCGCCGACGACGCCGAGGGCAAGGACACCTGGCGCACCTTCAAGGACATGCGCGCCATCCTCGACGGCGCAGGCGCCAACCCCTTCCTCGACACCGCCGCCCCCGCCTCCGCCAGGGAACGCGACGTCCTCGTCGAGTTTCTCACCCTCCTCGCCGTCTGCCACACCGTCATCCCAGAGCTCAAGGACGGCAAGATGGTCTACCAGGCCAGCAGCCCCGACGAGGCCGCCCTCGTCGCCGGCGCGGAGCTCCTCGGCTTCCAGTTCCGCGTGCGTGCGTCGTGTCCCCCGTCCCCCGTCCCGTCTGACATCCGTTCCAGACCCGCAAGCCCAAGTCCATCTTTGTCGACGTGCTCGGCGTGTCCCAAGAGTTCCAGATCCTCAACGTCTGCGAGTTCAACTCGACCCGCAAGCGAATGTCCACCGTCGTCCGCGCCCCCGACGGCCGCATCAAGCTCTACTGCAAGGGCGCCGACACCGTCATCTTTGAGCGCCTCAGCAAGGTCCAGCCCTACAGCGAAAAGACCCTCGTCCACCTCGAGGTGAGAGCCACCCACCGTCCCCCACGACGGCGCCTCGACCGCTGACGTGTCTCCACAGGACTACGCGACCGAGGGCTTACGCACGCTCTGCATCGCCTACCGCGACATCCCAGAGTCCGAGTACAAGCAGTGGTCCGCCGTCTACGACCAGGCCGCCGCCACCATCAACGGCCGCGGCGACGCCCTCGACAAGGCCGCCGAGATCATCGAGCGCGACATGTTCCTCCTCGGCGCGACCGCCATCGAGGACAAGCTCCAGGAGGGCGTACCCGACGCCATCCACACCCTCCAGATGGCCGGCATAAAGGTCCGTCTCCCCCGCGCCATCCGCGCCACCCCTTTCCCCGCGCCATCCGCGCCACCCCCTTCCCCCGCGCCATCCCTTCCTCGCTCACTCGCCCCGCCCAGGTCTGGGTCTTGACCGGCGACAGGCAGGAGACCGCGATCAACATCGGCATGTCCTGCCGCCTGATCACAGAGTCGATGAACATGGTGAGCCCGCTCGCTCTCGTCCCTCCGCGGCCGTCCGACCGGGTGAGCCCGACAGGTCGTCATCAACGAGGAGACCATGCACGACACCAAGACCACCCTCGAGCGCCGTCTCACCGCCATCAAGAGCCAGCGCAGCTCCGGCGAGCTGGAAGAGCTCGCTCTCATCATCGGTGCGCCGCCTTGCGTTGCTCGTCGTCGTGCTTTTGTTGACGCGCGGCCCGCTCAGACGGCAAGAGCCTGACGTACGCGCTCGAAAAGGAGCTGTCCAAGACCTTCCTCGAACTCGCCATCATGTGCAAGGCCGTCATCTGCTGTCCGTCGCCTCCCTGTCCACCCTCGTCGGCGCTGACAAAAGATCGTTTTCCTACATAGGCCGCGTGTCCCCGCTCCAAAAGGCGCTCGTCGTCAAGCTCGTCAAGAAGAACCAAAAGTCCATCCTCTTGGCCATCGGCGACGGCGCCAACGACGTCAGCATGATCCAAGCCGCCCACGTCGGCATCGGCATCTCTGGCGTCGAGGCAAGTCTTTCCGCCTGCCCGCCCCCCCGCTGACACGCGAGCCTGACCAACACCGTGCAGGGTCTGCAAGCGGCGCGCTCCGCCGACATCGCCATCTCGCAGTTTCGCTTCCTCAAGAAGCTGCTCTTGGTCCACGGCGCCTGGAGCTACCAGCGCCTGTCCAAGCTCATCCTCTGTGCGTGACGTGCCCCGCACGCGTGCGCCCCGTGGCTCACCTCTCCTCGCGCAGACTCGTTCTACAAGAACATCGTGCTGTACATGACCCAGTTCTGGGTTCGTCACGTCTCGTGTTCCGCATACCCGTCTGACCCCGTCGCCGGCAGTTCTCGTTCTTCAACAACTTTTCGGGCCAGATCGCGTACGAGTCCTGGACCCTGTCCTTGTACAACGTCGTCTTCACCGTCCTTCCGCCGCTCGTCATCGGCGTCTTTGACCAGTTCGTCTCGGCCCGCATCCTCGATCGCTATCCACAGTTGTACATGCTCGGACAGCAAAACGCGTTCTTCACAAAGACCGCGTTCTGGCTCTGGGTCCTCAATGCCCTCTATCACAGTGTGGTGAGCGGTCCCGTTTCCCGCCCGTCTCTCCTCCGCCCTCACGGTACCCTCCACAGGTCCTGTTTGGGTTCTCCGTCATTCTCTTTTGGGGCGATCTCAAGCAGGCGACCGGGCTCGACTCTGGCCACTGGTACTGGGGGACCATGCTCTATCTTGCGGTGCTCCTGACCGTCCTAGGAAAAGCGGCCCTGGTGTCCGAGTAAGCGCCTTTGCATCTTCACCGGAACGAGCTGAAAGACTGCGCTCTTCTCAGCCTATGGACAAAGTACACCGTGGCCGGTACGTCGTCCACCTCCGTTTTCCCGTGTTCTCTGCTCAGCGCGTCCGACCGCAGCCATCCCCGGCTCCTTTGCGTTCACCATGCTCTTCCTGCCCTTGTACGCCGTCGTCGCCCCCGCCATCGGCTTTTCCCTCGAGTATCAAGGGCTGGTCCCGAGGCTCTGGACCGACGCCGTCTTTTACTTCATGCTCCTGCTTGTCCCGGTGTTTTGTCTCAGTCGGGACCTGGTTTGGAAGTAGTGCGTCCTCCGTTTCCTTTTTTTTTCGCATGCGCTCCGACGCTCACGGGGCGCACAGCTACAAGCGCACGTACATGCCCGCGTCGTACCACATCGCGCAGGAGATCCAAAAGTACAACATCCCCGACTACCGGCCGCGGCAGGAACAGTGCGTGCCGTCCCCGCGAGCGCTTCGCCTGCTGACCCCCCTCCCCGCGGACAGGTTCCAAAAGGCGATCAAGAAGGTGCGCGCCGTCCAGCGCATGCGGCGCAATCGCGGCTTTGCGTTCAGCCAGACGGAGAACCCGGGACGCCAGGACCAGTCGCGCCTCATTCGCGCGTACGACACGTCAAAGTCGGACGCGCGCCCGTCGGGGTATTGATCCGGGCGGTTCCTTTTTATTCTCCTTGGACGGTGCACGGACAGATGTACTCTAGTAATGATACTCATGCCATCTTGCTACTCCTTTACGCGCCTTCTCGCGGTTGGAGTCATTCGCCGAGACAGACATCTGATATAGACGTAAAATTCGTGAAAAGAGCTAATGGCCGTATAATTTCCGATCATCTGTAGAGTCCTCCATCCGTCCATCGGTACTTCCGCATAGCTCCACAAAAGCCCAACCATAAAACCTCCATGCGACAATAACGGGAAAGAAAATATATCGTAGGTCATAAGTTACGTGCACGCCGATACTCTTGTACCTGTGCACTGTACACAACAGCAGAGCATACCCTATGCTTTGCCCCTGCACCGACAATTATCGTAGGTGTATCAGCTGGGTCGTGTCCATGACGCCTAAGAATGTTTATGGTAATGGATTCGCCCGAGGCCATAGCTTTCTTCGACATGATGAAACGATTGAATCCTATATCCACGCCTCCATTCGTGACAGCAAACGAAACAGGTACGAGTACCCCTGGACCAAGGACCTAACTCATTGTGAGTGGAAATGCCTGAAAAAAAGACAGACATACAGGAACCAAGGGAGGGGCAAGGCCGTAATCCATAAACTCCATAAATGGGACAGTAGGAGCGTCGTAAAACCACGGTGCACCTGCCGCGGCAGCCTGCTCAGGATAGGCGAAAGAGATGCCCAACGCGATACATAGGTTGTGCTGCCTGCGTTTGATGTCTGGTCCGGCAGGTCCATAATCGGTAAAGTGGAGGTCGGTGGAATCTTGCCCGGGGAAGCGAGCACCAAGCCACCCATGGTACATATTAGCCATAGCTGAAGTCGAATGTTAGCAAAGTGAAGGACATAAGAAACATATGCTTCGAACCTGGATGCTTATCTATAGAATTAGATATATATAAAAGTAGTGCCTGGTGGTAGTCTAATGATACGGTGATGGTCTGGACATCGAAGGACTGAAGCGTGAAGGGTGCCGGGGCCGCTGGGCTGGCGGGGCAGTCGAAACAGCCGCGTGATCAGTGGCCGGTTGTACTCAAAACAGATTTACATGGGCCAACATTCGACATCGACATTCAATGACCAACTTGCACCATCCACTGCGCACCTGCCTTGTACCGCCCTCTTCAAGCTTCATGGATCACCGAAACATATGTGACGTGAGTATTCAAGAGCTCGTGAATCGCGTGTACTTGACGGAACTTGGTTGTTTTTGACCATAGGTGAACACATCTTCGCCATCTTCGCCGGCAGCCCTTGACCATATGCTTTCGCCGCGTCGTACCACCAGGAACCGCTGGGAGGAGGCGTTGATGAGCATGCCTGGCGCACCTGCGTACCATTTCGTCACCGACGAGCAGCTTGACAAGATGTTCTTAAGTTTGGGATGCAAACCGTCCGAGCTTGCCGCACGGCGTGCGGATTATGATAAGCGGATGGATTCCATGTTGGATCTAACCGGGGGAAAGATCCCCTTCATCGGTGTACGTTTACTCCGCCACGCCACGCAATCTTTCATGGCGGACTGACTTGAATGTCGTTGGGTTGTTGCTTGTTAGGCCAAGCCGGTTGCGGGTGAACGCATTCATATTTTCACCATTACAAACGACCATCTTGCAATACGCCTTTGGGATGGAGGTTTGCAAGATGATGGCCAATTCCTTCTTGACTTGGTCGATTCTAGAACAAAGAAACCTGTCAACTCCCCCGCAGGATACAAGATTTACGTTCTTCCCCGTGTCGGTCGCATGTTGGGCATCCCCGGTCCACTCATGTCTTGGGAAGTGGCTACGAATATCCCACGCAAGGATATCAAGGATGGGGAGGAGAGGTTTAGTGTACTGGAGGGCAGTCCGTGCATGCTGCGGCGTCCTGGGAAGGATGATTTCTTCTTCGCGGTACCTGACAGAGCGAGGGACCCCCTGCCGGGTATGCAGCTCGCTACTCCTATCATGAGCTGGCAACAGTGAACTATCAATTTGTGTCTATGTATTTCTGGATCTTGTACTGTGGACGGTGTTCTGTCTCGCGCATATGTGTATTGTAAAATACTTGTTTGTTCTGATGACACTGATACTATTTGACGCCGCTTCGCGCACCACATTCGCAGTCACTGCCTCGCAGTCCGAAGATAGTCCAGTCTCATGTTAGAAGTCGGACCGTAATTCCATTCGCAGTCCCTCTGTTGTGCCACACAGTCCGGATTCCGCACCACACAGTCTGGCCATGCCGCACACAGTCCGTTAATTGTCGCGCCACACAGTCGGAGTATGTCAGCACTCGGTGCCCTCCAACATCTCATGAGAAGGACGAGCGTCGTCGTCTGTCCCTCCGCTCGACCCACGCATGGTCGTCCTTTCGACTCCATATACGCCTGCCTCTCGACGCCTTCCACTGTCGACCTTATCGATCCTCCTGTCCTTGCACATTCATTCCTTCCCCTCCTCACATATATTTCACATTTTCAGTCATTCTGCCCGCCCTCTCTCGTTCTGCGTTATTATAGAGACCCCATGCGCACTCGACCTCTCGCCTATTTGCCTGCTCGAAGTGCTCTGATGCTACGCCCTCGTTTTGTCGTCCCCGCCGGCTCCCCTCTCGCTCCCCAGATCAATTCCCACGCTCATGCCCACGCTGTCGCCTACACCTACTAGCCAAAGGAACTGCGATATCCGCAGGGAAGCGAGCGCATTCCAGTCCGTGTGCACCGCGCCGCACTCTGCCTCAAGCAGAAGCTGCAAAGACGCGGTGCGCATCGCGTTCCAGAAGGTATGCGCGCGCACCACCCTCTCCCCCACACCCACCCTGCACTTCTTCGTGCGGTCCTGCAAGCTCAGCTGTACAGCGTCATATAGACTCATCTTCCAGCCCCTCCATCTCTCCCCACGTCTCTACCCCTCCCACTGCCCTTGCCTGCGCGCGTCGGTGATGCTTGGCATCAAACAATCCACAGCGGACGAGTTGCGCAAGATACACGGCTCGCGCACGCGGTCGAGAAGCTCGATGTTGAGGGTTCCGCAGTGGACAAGTCTAGCAAAGTGCAAAAACGGCCGTGTGTAGTCTGCGGCTGCCGCAGACTACACACGGCCGCCGGCTTCGCCGGCAACACACCTGCCCTTAGCACGTTCTTCAACATCACAAATGGCTCCGAGCATGCCTTGGGCAAACAGAACGCAAGTGAGTGCTGGACATGTTCGAGCGCCACGAGAAGTACATCCCGCACATGCACACAGCACACCTTGTCTATCAGGAACGTCACCGCACTGCGACGCAGCGTCAAGTGGGAGCAGCTAGGCTGGCCTGAGGTAGATTGGTCGCTGAAGAAGTGAGGGATCGTTATTGTTTGCACAGTGAGTCTTCATTATGTTGACATTGAGTCCGAGTATGGGTGGGACATGGCGACACGCTCCAACCGCCTTCTGTAGCACCCTGACACACACGGTATGAGAGGATCTGACATACTCTCCCACTCGTACTATCGGCAACTGATTTAACATGCTTTGTGCGCATATATACGCGCTCCCACTCTTAGCTATTTTTCAAGTACCGCTTCTACCTGTGGTTAGATTTTTTTTCTCTCTCTGTATGTATATCACGACCCTGCAAACCATCTCTTCCTCTCCTAAAGAAGAGGCTATGTCTTTACACCATGGCCCCATTCACCCACACGACGTGTGGGCGAAAGTTGTGGAGAGAGCGTCGATCTGCGCTGACCTGCGCTGATCCGACCGTGATCGCCAGCTCTCGACTCGACCAGGTCCAGCTTCTCACAGACAACATGTCTCCCCGCTGCCCATGCAACAATGGATTGCGAAACCGGGACAAGCATCAATCTGACTAGTCTTGTGAGCACATTTCTAACCTACTCTTCGATGCCCTCTCTTCCACACACTCAACTTTGCGAACGGGACGATGGGCCTCCGCCGATGCCCTGAGAAAGCAAGCATCGCCGAAGGCGTGTACTGAGGTTTATTTTTATTTTTATTTACTTTTACTGTAATCCGTCCCATCCCTGCCTCGTCCTCTAACCTCGTCCACACCTACGCCCACGCTCACCACCATCTCTTTTCCCGGTGCCACCCACGATCACCGTCGCTGAGGCGTCCTGCCCCACCGACGCCCACACGCTCACGCTGCCCGATGACGGGCCAAGCATCGCGACCGTCCGAGCGTCAACGACCGCGATGTCAACGACAACAACGACCACACTGAGGAAGGTCGGTGGCGGAAAGACACGCTGGGGAGAGAGAAGGGACGTGCGACGAGGTATGCCGCCTCTCTTTGCGCCAGCCTCCCTGCACACGCGTCCCTTCTGCTCTCGTCTTGTCTGCCCGCCCCCTCCCTCAATGCCCTCATGCCCTCCCGCTCGAATTGTCCGACGTCACAGCCGCTCCCCAACAATCCCCCTGACCCTCTCGGATAGTTCGACGCTCCGCCCCCTTGCCCGCTCAATCAGCTCTCCCCTCTCGATACCACACCAGCTCGACACCATTTGATCATCGGCCCTTGACCCTGTATATTCCCGCTGTCAACACGAGGTACGCCCACTCGACGCCACACCCTCTCTTCCGCTCTCCCCACTCAATGCCATACCCACTCAATGTCGTGTCCTCGTTCTCTTCGACGGCCAGACTCAAAACCCTCTCGACCCTCGACCTTCGACGCCACGCAAACACCACACCGTCGAGACCCCTCCACGCCGATCCTGCCCTCAGGCCCACACGCGCGTTCATCCTCCCGGGCTCATGCAGCCGCCATCGGCGGTGCACACTTCCCAGCTATCTCGCAGCCGCTCCCTCAGCCGCCAACACCCTCACCCCCTCAATGTCACGCACCACCACCACCCAGTTCCCTGTACCCCTTCGACCTCGACCTCGACCTCTACCCCCCTCTCGTCCCCTTGATATCAGGGGCGTCGTTTCCAGTCTCTCTAAGCATAGCAGTACCTCGTTCTCAACCTTTCCACTCTCTGGCCCCTCGATCTGCCACCTCCCGACCGTCCCTGCACCCCTCCCTACCCCGACTGCCCTATCTGCTTCAACGCGATCGTCCCCGCCCAGTCGACCTGGACCTGCTACCCCGCCTTTGTCCCACACGACCCCGACGCCGCGCCCCCCGCCGGCCACGAGCACAAGCACGAGCAGGAGCGCGAAGTGCTGCTGGACAACCTTCCACCTCAAGTGCATCCGCTTGTGAGCCGCGAAGAGCATCAAGGACATCGAGGACGCCTGGCGCGCGCGCGGCGAGAGGGGCAGGAAGGGCGACTGGCGCTGCCCCAGGTGACAGTTCAAGCGTGAGTCCGTCCCGCATTGCTACTGGTGCGCTCCGCTCCTTCTCTCAACCTGCTCCCATAGCCCTAACCCGCGCCCGGTAGGTGCTTCTGCGGCTTAACCCAGGACCTGAAGCCCCCGCGCTTCTCGACGCCCCACTCGTGCGCAAGCCCCTGCTCGTGCCCGCGCGCGTGCGGGCACCCCTGCGCGCTCGGGTGCCACCCGGGTCCGTGCCCGCCCTGCCAGGTGACGACACAGCGCCCGTGCCACTGCGGCAGCAGACGGTCTCCTTCCGGTGCTCCCGCACGTCCCCCGCCCCTGTACTCCTGTCCTCGACCGCCGACGCCGCGCGCGTGGACCTCTCCTGCGGCCGCGCTTGCGAAAAGTGGCTCGCGTGCGGGAACTACGTCTGTGTGGAGTCGTGCCATCCCGGCGCGTGTCCGAGGCAGTGCAGTGCTAGTGCAGGAAAGTGGAGAAGCAGCTTGCATACAGGGAGGGAGAGAAGAAGGCGTGCGCCGTGGTGCATAGAGACGGCGAGGAGGAGGAGGAGCAGTGGGTCGGGTCGTTTAATTGCGGGAATTCGTGCGATCGGTACGTTCTTCCTCGAATCTTCCTCCATACCCCCAATGAATTCCTCCCGTCTAACCGCTTCAGCCACCGCCTCCAACTGAGCTGCTCACTAGTGAGAACTCGGCGCCAACTCCTGCCATAGTTATCGAGCTGCAGTCTCGACTGCAGGACATTCAAGTCTCTCTTGCCTGCTTCATCGATAATATCCGCGCCATGGAGGGTATGCTCTCTGAGCACAAAGCCATCAAACGTGAAGTTAGCACCCTCCGCGAGCTGATAAAGGAAAAATGCGAATTAGACAGCGTACGCGGCAGACAATGCTCAGGGACGCTGCGTGCCAAGGACCACGACGACAGCGAGTACGGCGGCGACGACGATGACGCGCAGAGTATCGCAACCGTCATGCCCCACGAGCTGGAGTACGTCGAGGAGGAGGACGAGGAGCAGCTGGCGGCGGAGGAAGAAGAAGAGGAGCGGCGGCGGCGGAGAGATGAGCTGGGTCGACTAAGAACACCAGAGCCTACAGGGATGGGCATGGACGACGATGACATCCATGACAGATCCAAAATGTACCTTGACGTGCTCAACATGCACTCACGATCGCCGCCGCCTCCTCTATAAGAGCCTTTTGCTCTTTAGCCTTCGACATCTTCCGTGTCCGAGGAGCGCCTCGATCCCCTTGCCTCTCAGCTCGAATCCGCGCTCGAGCTCTTAAGTTAAGTGATAATCTTGTAGAAACTGCAAGGTAGTCAGCGAGGGCTTCGTTCGTAAAACACAGTGAGTACTAACTTTTTTTCCCTATGTTCATTCCCAGAGGAACTCGCCAATTCGATCTGCAACAGCCCTGGCAACTACCTTGATTATTTGTAGTTACTATCCCTATCGACTGGCGCACATCGCACGCTGTGCACACCTTTTCTTCGACCCCATCACCTCACGCTGGACCTCTCGTCCCGTCCGAAGCGCTTGCTTTTGCATCAGAGGCGCTCAATGAACAAGCACTCTACCGCTGACGAGTTGCGCACACCTTGTAGATGCCTGCTGTTTACAGCAACGCCATAGACAAGTTCACCAGATGTGCAGAAATGGCGATGCGCTCTCTAGGGCAGCCCGTCGAGCATCATAGACCAAATTTGCTGTGCGCACTCCTTTCTTTTTCCCCTTCAGCTCCTCCACTGCCTTTTTGCGCTCTCGACGATGCAAGTGGACGATGGGCCTCCGCCAAGGCCCTGATAAAGCATACATTCTCGAGAGCGTGTTAACATGGCGGCCTAGTGTATGCTGTCAGTAGTACTGTACTGCAACAAGTTATGCATGAGCTTATCACCCTATTTCATCCCCCCCCTTGTACTATCTATGACTCAATTCCTTCATTCGCCTTTGGAGGCCTCGTGGGTCGCCACAGCAGCACACGCAAGTGTCCATGCTGCCTTTAAATCCTCCTCGTTCCCATGTACGATGAAGCGCTGTCGGAGAATCGTGCCCTGCAGTGCCAGGATCACAGCCAGCAGCGAATGGTCCGCACCACAGAGCCTCAGAGCGTCACGACCGACGCCCGCCGCCTTGTCCAGCACCTCGCCGTCCCCGGTAGCGTCATGATACGCGACGAGCGCCTTGGAAAGCCGCCAAAAGACGATCATCCGGATCATCGGGTCGTGGATTCCGCTCTCTTCCAGAAACGCACGACAGGCCTCGATGGATAGCTGTATGTCTTCCTGCTGTCCTAGACGCCGGAAGCGGGCCTCCAGCGACACGCTCAGCGGATTGTAAAAGACAAATCGCTCGGGGCCCGTGACACCTGCAAGACATATCTTAAGCGCGCTCACCGACTGTTCGAGGTCCGACAAAGCACCAAAGTGTGTGTAGCGCATATACGAAGCGTGACTGAACGCTGAAAGCGCCCTTCTCAGCGGTTCCGAGACAGGTGCAGATAGTTCAGGTCCGTCTCCGAACCCGCGGAGCGCCTCTCAACAAAGCCCAACCGCTTGGTCCAGTACATCCACTCTATTCGTCGCGACTAGCGCTAATGCATGTGCAACGCACGCGTGCGCCCTCTCTTGGCTTCCATGCTCCATTGTAGCGATGTCTCCAAGCGCGAGCGCCTCGCGTCTGAATGCGTGCGCGTAGTCTTCCATCTTATCGGCGGGGTTACTGAGCACGGAAAGGGTTTACCCAGAGAAGCTGTGGGAGGGCGTGTCGCATCGGCTGGGCGGTAGCATCGAAGGCGAGGGATGCGGAGTAGAGACTAGAGGTGTGGGACTTATCATGAGGGTGGTCAAATGGGTGTGGTGGTCTTTTACGCGTGAGCTCGGTAAGCTTCCGCATAGTATGCCAGCCCTGATGAGGCCCCATGCGGCTTCAGTGAGCCGTGACGCTTCTTGTGAGGCATCCTCCGTTCCGATCGTTCTACATTGGCGTACAAGCTCGTTCAGGACCTTCAATCGGCTACTCACTCCGAAACCTAAGCTCGTCAGCCTCTCAGCCTCCTTGAGCGCCTCGATACGGTCCCTCGCAGATGAACCCCGCTCCCTCATCGCGGTCTCGAGCGTCATCAGTCGTTCAGGGCAGTCCACGTGCGTGGTTGGGGCAAGAGTGGTGATCCTGCAATGTAGCTTTAGCCACGTGTCGATGTCGGGCAAGGAGGAGCCGGTCTCGTTCAGATGGGTCTCCATCGTGCTCAGCACCGCACAGTCCAACCCTGCCTCGCGCTGCCTCATTTCCTCTGCGAGCTGCTTTGCCTCTTGGAGGTGCTCCGGTCGCGAGCTGCGGCCATACATCATCAATAGAACATTCGCAAGGGAGGCGATAAGGTGTTTGTCGGGATGGGAAAGTACGAGCGCCTGTCGCATCAAAGATGCACGCTCCTCCAATGCCAACGTGAGATACCAAAGGTCCGAACACTGACACAGGGCCTCGAGGGCACGAAGGAGGTCAGCAAGGTCTTCTCCCTCGCGAACGTAATGTCGTGTGTGAAGAACATCACGATAGACGGAGACCTTCTCCAAGATGCTGAGTGAAGGAGGAGAGGCGCAAAGGAAGCCCAAAAGCTTCGCCGCGGCGAGGCGGTGGTTGAGTGAGAGGGCTGGTGAACAGCAGAAGATCTCGCGCGTGAGCGCTATGAATATTTCTTGTCTGCTCTTCGCGATAGCTGACATCGACTTGCCAAGGCCGCTGTCTTGGTCTCTTTGCTCCTCCAGCACTTCCAATGTGCGCCAGATCTCTCTATGACATTCGCTGTGCACTCTCAAGTCCGTCAAAGCATCGTTGCGATCGCTGGACACCCATGAAAATATATCCGTGCTCTCCAATTCGATACGAGCTTCTGTTTGAGTTGGATTACAGCGTCGCAAGGACCGATAGATCGATTCTATGCATCATGAGGTTGTCAAAAGAATAGGCAGTATATTCAAAACATACTCACTGGGGGTGCCATTTTGATGTCCTTGTCTTGTCCGCTGTGGTCATTCGGCGTGATCTGATCCGCTGTGAACAGTGCGTTATGCTCTGGTGGCCACATGACTCCCTTCCTATGAGCTACCGACTTACCTCTCTCATTGTCAGATCTCTCGATAATGTCTGCTCCCATTGTGCGCAGCTCCTCTTCCTCGCGGCGCTGCTGATTTTGCGTTACTGCAAAGAGCATCTGTAGAATTACCTATGGCATCTAAAGTGAATCGAAAGTCAGCTATCGGTAAAAGGTTGTGCATACCTGTGCGCGGAAACTGCGTCCATTGCCGTCGGGCTCGTCGTCCATAGTCTTGTAGCCGCCAAGCTGATTAGTTTATGAGTTTACTATCCCACTCGATGTGGAATGTCCCCTCGGTCACTGAGGAGCGACTGGTCGTAGGGTGCTGGGAGGAAAATATTAACGATTGATGAGCGCCCATCGTTGGCTAGAGACACGATCAAGCTGTACAGAAAGCGCAGTCATTGTGTAGCTATGACACTTCTTATCGTACCGCTCAAGATAATGAGAAACCGGTGGAACTTGTGAGGCTGCAAGAGGTGGAAATTATCAGTGAGAGTGCCGTGCGTGAGGGGAGTCACGTGATATCACTTGGTCGACGCGAGTCTTTGCGCTGTCTTTGCCGCCTTTGTTTCTCATACGCTCATCGTCCTCCATGGCGGAGGAGTTATCGGCTAGGTAGAAGGCATAAACGGTGGTTTGGAGAGCGTGTGGAGCATTCACCTTGATCAGAACATGGACCATGTCTTCCGAAGCAGCCCAACTGACGCCCAGTTCCTGTCCTATCCATGACTCGTCGACACTCCATCTGCGGGCGCTCACTTTGCTGTTCGCCGAGGCCACCCACGTCGACGACTGGACCATGCGGTACAAGGAGACACATGGTGCACCACATCTAGACGAGTGCGGGATTGGGCTCGACGGTGTGACGAGCGGTTCGCATGTAGGCATAGAGATAGGATCGATCCGAGCACAGAGACGGGGATGCTAGTTGATACACGGTGAGTTAGGCAGGATGCTGGAGGCCATGCGGAGGAAGTATGTACTAGCCGGACAGAGGATGCCGCAATCGTCTGTATGTATATGTGTCCTTGCCAGTCCCACGGCCTTGCCCATAGCCCTCGCATCACGTTCAGCCGTTCTTTGCCCTATGTCACCATGCATTTATTATATTCTCTGCACAACCTCTTCTCCAGTGCATTCCCCTTCCGCTTCCTCTGGCGTTCAAACATGTCTTTCCCCATCGACCCTACCTACTTCCCTGATTGCCCACAAGGCATCAAGCGTCACGTGCTCGACTGGGCGCAGCACGTCTGTGCAGATACCATTCCCTACTACCGCCCGTACATTGCCAAAATTAAGCACTGCAAGCGGGAGGGCGGAGTCTGGCATGAGTTCCTTATCATCGAGTTTATCTACCCCATTTCAGCCAGTGCCACCCGCATCGTTCCCGTCATCGTTGAGCGTACGATCGAGACCGGCCAGATCCCCCATGAGATGATCCGGCCAGGGGTCGACCTTTCTGCTCAGACTGGCCAAATGAATGTCAGGTCCGAGCCCGCCTGGTTCCACAGCTCGTCCTACACCTCGGTCGACTCATCCATGACCTCTTCTACCTACGCCAACATCGGATCCTCCTCGATACCCCCTATGGGGGCGCACGCGCTCGACTACATCCACGTCCCGCAAAATGGCGCGTCTATCAACAGCATTGACGAAGGAGCAGGCAGCCCGTACCAGGTCTGCCGCGAGCTCACGTTCACCTCGCGCGTGACGGATCATAACCTTGCCGCCCTGCTGGTTGCGGTGCATGAGCACTCGCCTATTTACAACGTTGTCTCACGACAATGTTACTGGTATGCGGCCGTCATCTACGACGTCTTCTGCGTCCGCCACGGTGGCAGATCAGTTGATCATGCACTCCATGGCCCTCTCCGTGCCGGGCGCTTCCTCACAATTTTCACCATCCAGCCCAAAGACCCACCGCTGGACTACATTCTGCCAGGTTACAATCGTCATTTCACGAGAGTTGTGGAAAAGGCGAGGACTAATCCAAATAATGCGAGGTTACAGGCAGCGGAAGCAAGGGCGAGGAAGGAGGCAGCGGAGAGGGCACAGGATGTTGCGGCAGCAAACGCGGCAGTAAACGCTGCGGAGGCAACGGCGAGGGAGGAGGCAGCGGCGAGGGTACAGGCCGACGCGAGGGCGAGGGAGGAGGCAGCGGCGAGGGTACAGGCTATTGCGGCAGCAAACGCGGCAGTAAACGCGGCGGAGGCAACGGCGAGGGAGGAGGCAGCGGCGAGGGTACAGGCCGACGCGAGGGCGAGGGAGGAGGCAGCGGCGAGGGTACAGGCCGATGCGAGGGCGAGGGAGGAGGCAGCGGCGAGGGTAAAGGCTATTGCGGCAGCAAACGCGGCAGTAAACGCGGCGGAGGCAACGGCGAGGAAGGAGGCAGCGGCGAGGGTACAGGCCGACGCGGCGAGGAGGAGGGTGGAGGATGAGAATGCCTTCCTCCGACAGCAACTGGCGGCGCAGGGCTATGCTGGCCCATCCAATAGGGCAGTGTAGACTTTGTTTTGTTTCCTATATCTGTTCCGCATCTGTTTTGGTTTCAGTGCTTTCAACGCTTTCGGTGCTTCCAGTGCATGTACTCGTTCTGTACGCATAGTCTTTCTCTCATAACATGCGATGTTTTCTGCGGTCCCACATCACCGGCGATCAATTGGATGGACCTCTTCTGCCCTCAACACCACGACTGCCCGTTCTCTTCCCGCCTGTACCACACCCACACCCACACCCACACCCACACCCACACCCACACCCACACCCACACCCACACCCACACCTACACCCACACCCATACCCATGACCATCCATGGTCCCCGCGGCAGCGGCATCTAGTAGTATTACTGACACTTTTGAGTCCACCGATATCCGAAACTACTGTGTTGCCAATTAAATGTAAATGTAAATATGAAAAAATCCTTTCTGTAATCTTCATACCCTGCTTCAACTTTGAGGCCTAGAAGCAGTGAGATTGAATCAGGGGTTCAATAGATATGGATTTAAACAGTCTACCCCCTAAAAGCAGACTGTGTGAAGCACAGTCTGGGTTTTGGGAGCCAAATCCGAAGTTGCACACAATTCTGTCTGATTCAATAGGCTTGAAAGGTATTTGTCATGGTACCCTAATATTTTCATTAGTAGACATGGAGTACTGAAGATGTTACAGACAAAATACAGAATTGAGGGAAAACCTCAAAAAACCGAGTCTCCAGTCCACAATTGTCCTTGGATTTCCATTGCAAAACTAACAAAATGCTCCTACATACACTACCTTTTAGATTATACCCTAATTTTATTATTTGGATGAGGGGATCCAGAGATATGTAATTGTTTGTGATGTTGAGGGTATTCTGCAACCCGGAGACACAGTTTAGTCAGCATCGGGAAAGGGCGGCACACAGTCGGGAGATTGCGGGCGCACAGTCGTCACACTGTTGTCACCCCACGCACAGTCTCTCTGTTGCGCCACACAGTCCGGCCGAGACCGCACACAGTCCGGATTTTGGCGCTAGTTCAGCGCCACACAGTCCGGATTCTCGGTGACAGTCCGAGATTTGGCGGTGAATCTGCGCCACACAGTCCGGCCGTGCCGCACACAGTCCGTTGATTGTCGCGCCACACAGTCCGACTGTGTCGGCACACAGTCCGACTGTGTCGGAGAGAGTCAGAGTTTTCCCTCCGACTGTGTCGGCACACAGTGCTCCTTCAACGTCTCGTGATCAAGCACGCTGCAATGTCGCGTCGCGTCCACACATTGCTAACAGCGCATTGTCACTATCTACAGATCCTCGAGGGATTGCCCTTTTCCTTCCCGATCCTGTCCTCTCTTGCTGTCCATGCCCACGCTCACACTCCTGTCGTCTCTCTCCCCATGTGCCATCCACCATCTCTACCGCAGAGGCGTCCTGTTCCACCAATGCCCACACGCCTATGCCTGCACTGCTCAACGACGCAGGCATCTACGACAATGAGGATGAGGATGAGGTTCGGCACCAGTGGAGATGATCACAGAAGAGGGAAGGAACGGGCGATGAGGACATTTACAAGCAGTACGTCACACACGCTAGTTTCTCCTCTCTCCCATCCTACCCTCTCAATAGGGCCACGCTTTCCGAGGTGTGCACTTTTTTATGCCATCGAATTCACATCGTCTGATAATCTGATCTTGTCCTGTTCAGGCACGTGAATGTGCCGTTGCAACGGTCGCCACCGATACACAGCATGGGGAACTTGTGGACAAAATTAATCAACTGACTATCCTCCGGAAGAACAACGCGACGCTGCGTGCGGATGCCGAATCTCAAGGGAAACGCGCTCGGGCGCTGGACTCCAAGCTCACGACCTTGTGCGGCTCGACGCCGCAAACGGTTTCATCGTGCGCAAGCAGAGCCGGAAGTGGTCGAATCGCGCGCGGCTGCGGATGGTGCGCGGGGAGGGCTCGGTGTCGTCACCCTAGGGCCTCGACGACCCCGGCGAGAGGCCAGACAGGGGCTTGGACGAGCTATAAGGAGATCGGTGTGCTCAAGGACCGTGCGGCTAAGGTCGGAGAGACGAAAGAGCGGGCGCGCATGCTGCTGGCGGCGAGCCCAACCAAGGAAGAGTGGGACGTGCACCTGCAAGAATGCCAGCGCTTGCTGATGGAGGGGTCGTTGAACAATGTATACTTGGACTCATTGACGGACCTAGATAGGTTGGTCGTTCGCGGGCAGCTGCTAGACGAGCGCAATCATGATGTGGATGACGCAGTCATGAGGCTTCGCAGCACCTGGTCCACGCGCGCGCCTGCTATCTCTCGCTCGACAACAAGCACCTGAAGAAGCTCGAGGCCCGTTAGCATGCCAGGCATGTGCGTTTGCAGCCGTACAAGACCATCGAGGAGCTGGACGAGTTCCGGAACCCCACACCCATGCACTTAGCCCTGCCCTTCCTCAACGTGTTCCACGGTCTTTATGGCGGCAGCGTCCCGCTCCACCAAGGTCCACGCACCCATGCTGCTCCACGACGCGGACAATCACGACAACGGAGCGGAGGACGAGGAAGAGGATCGGCCACGTGGAGATGGGAGGTAGTGGACGACGAGGCCATCTACATAGGTACATCGTCAGTCGCCCCAATTCCTCCTCTCCTGCTCTCCCTCCTGCTCTTCCAGCTGTCCCCGCTGGTCCCATGCCCACTGGCCCACTGGCCTGCTCGCGCGCATCGTTCACGCCCCCTCGCGCATCGTCTGCGTTGCCCAGACCCCCGCTCGACACGCCCGCATCTATCACTCGACGCCACTTGCCTGCTCATCCCGCTCTTCTATCACGACCTCAACCCCCTCATTCGACCTGCGTCCCCTCGACCCTTTCGATGGCGACATTCCTGCCCTTGACCCCGCGCCCTGTCGTCCGCTCAGCCCATGTCACCCTGCCACCGAGCACCCTCGCACGCTTGCGCCCAGAACCCTCGTGCTCATCTCCTCCGCTGTCGATGTCCCCACTCTCGACATCATAAACGCTCGCCACCCAGAGCCCCCGGTGGCCCCGATCCCATCAAATATCGCCCGTCCCCTCGATCCCATGTGTTCGCTCTCGCCTGCGTCCTTCCATGTACAGCCACACACACTCGTTCCCTTAGATATGCATATAGCCTCCACCCGGCGCCCTCCTGCTCGTCTCATCGATCCCATACGCATTCATCCCCACACCCCTGACACCCCCGCAATACAGCGCCCTCAACATCTTCAATCATTGAGGGCTGAATGGCGAAGCTGCTCCGTCGACGCCTCCGCGCGCGTGCTACATGCAAAGCGTCGCGACCGTTCTAGTGTCGACGAGGAGGATGAGACCCAGCTGGCAATGGAGGACGAGGAACAAGTGCGTCGGAGAGACGAGCTGAGAAGAGTGAGCACGGATGACGAGGCTATCCATAAGGGATGTAGGTATGTTGTCGTCTCTTACTCCCGTTCTTTTCCCGCACACGTATCTCTTGTATTCGACTTATCTGCCCGCCCCCGCACGGCATCACGCCCACTCTTCCTCTCATTCAGTCCTGCTCTCGACCTGCTCGCCCAACCCTCTCGACCCGCTTGCCTGACCCTCTCAGCCTGCTTGCTTGCTCACTCGCTCTCGTGCTCGACCCGCTCGAAATCATGCCCACTTGCTTGTGTCGTCCATGTCCCCTCCGCACATCGTCTGCATTGCCCAGACTCCTACTCGACACGCCCGGACTTCCTGCTTGACGCCATGGGCACTCGTGTGCTCGAGTGCTAGCCCCGCTCGACTGTCGATCCCACATCTGCCCTCGTCCCCTCAGGTTCAAGCGCCCGCTTTTGCCTGCGACTAATATCCTCCTACCCCGCCCAGCCAATTCGTACCGCACGCGCGACCAGCCCTGGTACACTTTCGGGCACGGGCTTGTTCTGATGTACATCGAGCTCGGTGTCATCACCTCGATTACGTACTATACCTTTCTGTGGTGCGAGAACGCGCGGCGGGACCACGGCGAGCAGTTAGAGGTCGCCAGCGGCGTGGATGGGAAGGAAGGCGTGGTGGGAGTAGAGAAGGAGGGGCTGGGAGGTGCACGCACGCCGGAACGGGCGGTTTGCGAGTGTTGCAGGGGCGACGCTTGTCTCCTCGACACCACTCCTGCCCTCCTACTCGTCCTCTCAAAACCCTCGACCTTCACTCCCTCAAATTACCAACTATCGACTGCCCGCAGATCGCACCCAGACCCTACCTTGAGGATAAGGAACGGCTGCAGCGGAGAGACGCACTGGGAAGAGGGCTGAAACGGATAACGAGGACATCCACGATGGATGCAAACTCGTTGAGCAGGCCAGTACGTCGCCGTCTCTCGCGCCAGTTTCTCCCTCTCCCGGACATCCGTATCTCCCACACTCATCCTGTCTATCTGCCACGCCCACTCACCTGTTCTCCACCACACCTGCCAGCCTGCTCGATGCGCTCCGACACCACACCCTCGTTCTCCTTGACGCATCTCATTTCGCCTCTCCCATCATTAACCATGGGCAGTCCATATAGTACGGTTCCACCAGTGCCCACTAGTAAAGCGGCGACGACTATACACACAACCCCTTCAACACTCGACCTTCCTTCCCTCGTGCCACACATGCCCGCTACCTAGCTCCAAGATTCGACCTCCTTCAACGTCCTCAACGGCACGCACGCACGCACGCTCCCTCGATCCCTCGACGGTCCGCACCAACTCCTCACTCCTTCCCTCAGCCCCTTGCACACGCGCCCCTTCGACCCCACGCCTACGCCTATCACTGTCTCGTTTGGCGTGCTGCATGGTTTCCATGGCGATGGCGTCCCGCTCCACCAGCGCCTGCGTACTCGCGCGGCTCGACGACGCGGACAACCACGACAACGAAGAGGAGGACGAGGAGGAGCACAGAAGAGGCAAGGAAACGGTCGACGAGGAGATCTGCAAAGGTACGTCGTCACTCGCCCCAGTTCCTCCCCCGTACACGCACACCTCCCGCCTTCTATCTGACTCTCCTTGTCGCCTTCAACAATCTACCCCTCGACTCTAACCGCCCCCTCCTCTCGTCCGCTCAACCTCTCCCACATCCGACCCGCTCTCCCGTCCGACCCTCTCGACCCCATCGCTCGCTGTACTGCCCTCCCCGCTCTCCTCGCACGATCTCATGCCCACTGGCCCACCGGCCGGCTCGCCCGCATCGTCCACATCGCCTCGCGCATCGCATGCGTTGCCCGGACCCATGCTCGACTCACCCGCATCTCCCGCTCGACGCCGCGCTCGCCTGCTCGCTCCAGCTCGACACCACCGCCGTCCACCACCCCGACACGTCCTCCGCCTCCTCCACCTTCCCTCTACCTCCTCCGCCTCCTCCGCTGTCGCCACCACCACCACCCACACCACCACTACCACCGCTTCCTCCACCTCACGCCGCTCCTCTGAGTTGTGGCGCACCATGCCCAGCGCCGGCGGCCGAGACTGCACCGTGCAGGACCACTCCAAGCCCATATCCGCCATGAGCACCGCCCTCCTCCGCACCGCCCTCCTCCGTGCCGCCCTCCTCGACCAGGCAGCAGCTGCCCCATCCGCATCCGCATCCTCGCGCACCGGCCGGTGCTAGCGACGACATCAGGCTCGCAGTTGCCGCCTCGGACGACGCCAACTCGACGACACCGACTCGACGACACCGACTTGACGACGCCGCCTCGACCCTACCGTCTCGACGCGGCCCTGTCCCGACCACGCTGCCGCCTCGATGCTTCCGTCTCTATCCCCACTCCCGACGACGACACCAGGTTCGCAGCCACCGTAGGGCGCGTGAGGATTGGGAGGTGCGCGTGCGGGCTGCCGAGGAGGGGTTTGACGGCGCCGTCACGAAGGTGGATGCCGGGCTCGCGACGCTGCACCAACACCAACTCAAGGTGAATGGGAACGCGCGCCACGGTGTCAGGCTCGTCACACCCCCCAGTCCACGCAACATCTCGTCTGACTCGGGCGAGCGCCATCGGTGGAAACGATCGACAATCTCCCGAGGCCGATCGCGTTCGCACTCGGCCGAGTCAAACAAGGATGACGGTGGGTACGCGAGCTCATTCGAGGGCGTGACACTGCTCGATGACAAGCGCCAATCAGCTTCCAAAGCACGCACGCGCGTGCCCTGGGCGCAGGATGATTCGGATTCGGACGTGCGTCATGCAAGCAACGATGCAAGGATCATGTCCTTGAAGCACTATCCCATCACCTCAGAGTTGGTCCAGAAGGCATCGACAGGGTTCACGATGGCAATGACGACGGAAGATGACGCCGCACACGCCTCGTCTGCCGCCGCCGCCAATCTGAAGGGCGCACACCTGGCGCCAGTGAGCTTTGTTCTCTGCATTTTCGTGCGTTCGCTCACAGCACTGTGTCGATAGATGGTTCAACATTCATGCCGTCGAGTTCACCTATCGTCTTGGACAGTCGACCCGCGAGGGCAGGTGAAACCTGGTGCAACTTGTCCGTCGACGGCCGAAGCCGTAGCGTCTGCTGCCAAACGACGGACCGGCCATGCTCCAGCAGCTCTATCGCATGCTCCAGCTCCCCCTCTCGAATCGCGTGTGCAGCCGCGCGGGAGCTTTCGATCGGGCTCTTCGCGAGAATGTCGTGTCGCGCCTGCACAGACCGCCCTATATTCACCGTGCGAAGCTGTTGCTGCAGGCGCGCGTCGAACACCGACATCCGAGGCACGACGGTGTTTCGTGGCGACGGCCTCCCATATCCTAGTGTACCGCAGACAGTGTCCGCTCGGAGCAGTCGTCGAGGTCGCTGCCTGGGCGTACATGTGCAGGCACTCATCCAGGTCATTCACGTCTCCTCGCGATTCATACCTCGCGTATACGACATCGCCCCAGGCCATCATCACGCCCGCCAACCCCGGGTGCATCTCCGGGGTCAGCGAAACTGCGAACTCGGCCCACACCGCCGCCTCGTCGAGCGCGTCCGCGTTGGCTTCTTTTTTCGCGACCTCTAGCAGACACGCGGCAAGACCTGCAGCCCAGAAGGGGTACCGTGTGTACCGTGTGTCCGTCTGCGCTTCCAACGCGTCTCGACAAAGGCAGATGGCTTCGACGAGATTATCCTCGCCCTCCTGAAGCTGGTACCGTCTCTTCAATGCATCTCCAAGTCTGAAGAGCGCCTCCACTCTGTCCGGATGCGTCTCGTGACTTTCTTCTGCCACTGCTCTAAAGAGCGCAATCGCCGCACTCAAGTCCTCCACCTTGCCCCCGTCCTCCCACATCACCAAAGCGCACATCCTTTTGGCTGCCGCGGAGTCCATCATGTTCTGGTCTTCGCCTTCGGAGGCCTCGTGGGTCGCCACACATGCAAGTGTCCATGCTGCCTTTGAATCCTCCTCATTCTCATGTATGACGAAGCGCTATCGGAGAATCGTGCCCTGCAGTGCCAGGATCACAGCCAGCAGCAGATGGTCCTCACCACAGAGCCTCACAGCGTCACGGCCGACGCCCGCCGCCTTGTCCAGCACCTCGCCGTCCCCGGTAGCGTCATGATATGCGACGAGCGCCTTGGAGAGCCGCCAAAAGACGATCATTTGGATTATCGGGTCATGGATTCCGCTCTCTGCCAAAAACGCACGACAGGCCTCGATGGATAGCCGCATGTCTTCCTGCTGTCCTAGACGCCGGAAGCGGGCCTCCAGCGACATGCTCAGCGGATTGTAAAAGGCAAATCGCTCGGGGCCCGTGACACCTACAAGACATATCTTAAGCGCGCTCACCGACTGTTCGAGGTCCGACTAAGCACCAAAGTGTGTGTAGCGCATATATGAAGCGTGACTGAACGCTGAAAGCGCCCGTCTCAGCGGTTCCGAGACAGGTGTAGATAGTTCAGGTCCGTCTCCGAACCCGCGGAGCGCCTCTCAACAAAGCCCAACCGCTTGGTCCAGTACATCTAGCCTATTCGTCGCGACTAGCGCCAATGCATGTGCAACGCACGCGTGCGCCCTCTCTTGGCTTCCATGCTCCATTGTAGCGATGTCTCCAAGTGCGAGCGCCTCGCGTCTGAACACGCGCGCGTAGTCTTCCGTCTTGTCGGCGGGGTTACTGAGCATACGATGCTCGGCATGGAAAGGGCTTACCCAGAGAAGCTGTGGGAGGGCGTGCCGCATCAGCTGGGCGGTAGCATCGAAGGCGAGGGCTGCGGAGTAGAGACTAGAGGTTCGGGACTTATCATGAGGGTGGTCGAATGGGTGTGGTAGTTTTTTACGCGTGAGCTCGGTAAGCTTCCGCACGGTATGCCAGGAGCCGTGACGCTTCTTGTGAGGCATCTTCCGTTCCGATCGTTCTACATTCTAACCTGAAAAGCTAGAAGGTTCAGGGTAGGGCAGGGGTATGGCAGGGCTAAAGAGGCCATTAAGAGGTGAAGAAGCCACCCATGCTAATATACATGGCTGACATGACGAGCCTGTCCGCGGCTGGAGAGGCTCGTCATGTCAGCCGTGTATTGGCAGGGCTGAGTCCTGATACGTGGCTGACATGACGAGCCTCGCTGCGGCTGGAGAGGCTCATCATGTCAGCCGCGTATCGACAGGGCTGAGTCCCGATACGCAGCTGACATGACGAGCCTCGCTGCGGCTGGAGAGGCTCATCATGTCAGCCGTGTATTGACAGGGCTGAGTCCCGATACGCAGCTGACATGACGAGCCTCGCTGCGGCTGGAGAGGCTCATCATGTCAGCCGTGTATTGACTTGGCTGAGTCCCGATACGCAGCTGACATGACGAGCCTCACTGCGGCTGGAGAGGCTCGTCATGTCAGCTGCGTATCGGGACTCAGCCCTGTCCTGATACACGGCTGACATGACGAGCCTCGCTGCGGCTGGAGAGGCTCGTCATGTCAGCCGCGTATCAGCTTGGCTGAGTCTTGATACGCGGCTGACATGACGAGCCTCACTGCGGCTGGAGAGGCTCGTCATGTCAGCCGTGTATTGACAGGGCTGAGTCCCGATACGCAGCTGACATGACGAGCCTCGCTGCGGCTGGAGAGGCTCGTCATGTCAGCCGCGTATCAGCTTGGCTGAGTCTTGATACGCGGCTGACATGACGAGCCTCACTGCGGCTGGAGAGGCTCATCATGTCAGCCGTGTATTGACAGGGCTGAGTCCCGATACGCAGCTGACATGACGAGCCTCGCTGCGGCTGGAGAGGCTCGTCATGTCAGCCGCGTATCAGCTTGGCTGAGTCTTGATACGCGGCTGACATGACGAGCCTCACTGCGGCTGGAGAGGCTCGTCATGTTAGCCGCGTATTGACAGGGCTGAGTCCCGATACGCAGCTGACATGACGAGCCTCGCTGCGGCTGGAGAGGCTCGTCATGTCAGCCGCGTATCAGCTTGGCTGAGTCTTGATACACAACTGACATGACGAGCCTGTCCGCGGCTGGAGAGGCTCGTCATGTCAGCCGCGTATCAGGATTCCGCTGTGCCAACAAGCACAAAACCTGCACAAACTCGACTCTACATGAATGAGACAGCCTACGAGCATTAACCTTACAGATGCCCGCGCTGTGAGTATGTTTTTATTATATCTTATTGTACCCTTTATTTCTTGCACTCGGCTTTGCAAACGGACGATGGGCCTCTGCCTCGCCGAGGGCATGTACTGATACATGATTGATGTTTCCTTCTCTTTTCCTCTACTTCTACTATCTACAGATCCTCGAGGGACTAACCTTTCCCTTCCCGACCCCGTCTCTGTCCTCGTCCACGCCTACGCCCCCGCTCACCGCCGCCTCTTTCCCCTGCGCCGCCACGATGTCGGCCGCGGAGGCGTTTTAAACCTGAGACAGCGGGGATCGCGGTGGGGGCTTTGCCTGGCTTCTTCGCGTCCTTGATGGCCCTCAGCTTCGCAAAGCGAGCTGGACGGACGTTGGCTTTGATGTCGCACAGGACGATGGTGCGATCGCGCAGCTCAACCTCGCCCTGCCGGATCTTTTTGATGATCTCGAGGCCGTGCGCGTCCGCGACGTAGCGCTGCTTCGCGGGCGAGGTGGTGCTCTCGTCGGCACCGGCCGCATGGTGGTGCATGTAGCCGGAGGCGGAGGACGGGGTGCGCTCGTGCGATGCGTGCGCGGCGGTGCGCAGCGTAGAGTGGGCGTGTTTGGAGAAGAAGGCGTCGGGCGGTAGGTTACCGGGGAGCGTGGTCGTGCCCTCGCCTCCTAAGAGAGAGCAGGGGAAGAGACGCGGCGTGAGGAGCCGCTTCCGGGTGTGCGCAGGTGCGCAGGACAGGCAGGGCCGGGCAGGGAGGGGCAGGACTAGGGCTGGGGGAGGGCTATCGAAAGTAAGTGATACGGACATTTTTTATGGCATTCCTCTTCGCACCTTCTCTTCTCATTAACAACGCTCCTCACCATCGCCGTCGACGCGCTGAGGCACGGGTAGCGTGACGATTGCGACACGCTGTGCGCAAGGGCAAAGCACGGGTGCGGCGGCGGCAGGGGCGCGTGAGGGAACAGTCGAAGGAGTTCTTGTGGCCGAGTGGACGCGTGTACAAGGGGCCGAGAGGATGAGAGGACGAAGGCGAAGGAAGTGGGTGGTGGGTGTGCATGGTGTCGAGGCGAGGGCGAGGGGACGAAGGTTGAGGTTTGCGCGCGGACAGAGTTGAGTTGGAGACGGGTGCGAAGGACTCAACTTCGCGTCGCGCGCACGCGACCACTTAATTAACTTCGTGACTCTCCAGCTCCCGCTCGTCCGCCTCAACCCCTCACTCGTTCCCTCGGCCCCTTGCACACGCGCCCCCTTTGACCAGTTGCCTGCTCCCACCGCTGTCTCATTCGACACAATCCACGGTCTCCACGGCAGCAGCATCCCATTCCACCAACACCCACGAACCAACGCTGCTCGACGAGGCGGAAAAGCACGACAACGAGGAGGAGGACGAGAAGGAGCACAGAAGAGGGAGGAAACGGACGACGAGGACTTAACCATAGGTACGTCGTCACTCGCCCCAGTTCCTCCCCCGTACACGCACACCTCTCGCCCTCGACCTCCTCTCCACGTCGCCCTCAGCGGCCTATCCCTCGACTCTACCCGCCCCCTCCTCTCGTCTGCTCAACCTCAGCCACCTCCGACCCGCTCTCCCGTCCGCCCCGCTCTCTCGTTCGACCCGCTCTCCTGTCCGACTCGCTTCCCCGTCCGACCCTCTCGACCCGATCGCTCGCTGTGCTAACCTCCCCGCTCTCCTCGCACGATCTCATGCCCACTGGCCCGCTGGTCCACTGGCCGGCTCTCCCGCACCGTCCACATCCCCTCGCGCATCGTATGCGTAGCCCGGACCCCCGCTCGTCTCACCCGCATCTTCCACTCGACGTCGCGCTCGCCTACTCGCTACAGCTCGACACCACCCACCATCCCGGCACGTCCTCCGCCTCCTCCACCTTCGTCAACACCTCTGCCTCCGACGCCTCGTCCGCCGTCACCACCACCACCGCCGCCGCCTCCGCCTCCTCAACCTCCTCACGCCGCTCCTCCGAGTCCTCGCGCACCAGGCCCAGCGCCAACCGCCGTGACCGCAACCGCACCCCGCAGGACCGCTCCAAGTCCATGTCCGCGGTGAGCACCGCTCACATACACGCTGCCCTCCTCGACCAGGTCACCGCTGCCGCATCCGCATCCTCGCGCACTGGCCGGCCTTCTCTTCTCCCGGTGTCACGCCCCCCTCCACCCCTGGCTGCTGTATGAACGGTACAGGACGGAGAAGCTCCTCGCGCGGCGCGCGGCGCAGAAGATCGGCGAGGAGGAGACGCGGCATCTGACGCACCCCTATCGTCTACCCTGCACTCCTCTCCCGCGTCGCCGAGGCCTTCCGCGTTCGCATCTCCCTCACGGAGCGCATCAAGGACAGCCTTGCCTGCCCGACTCCGCCACCGACGTGTACGGGCCCAGGATCCGCGTCCTGAGCCCGTTCTTGAGCGGCGACATCCCCTGCCTTTGCACCCGCGCTCAGCAAGTTCATCCTACCCCTGCGCCCCGACTCGGCGTCCATGCAGGAGAGCGGCTCCTCGCCCTCGCATGACCCCTCCTCCACCGACTCGCCGTTGCCGTCGCTTGTTCGATATGTATTAGTTTACATGAGTGACGCACGTTGTCCTGACCCTGCAGCCTCATTCTGGGGATGATGGTCTTCAGCCCGACGGTCACGACAGCGAGCTGATTACATTGTTGTGGTAAATGCCTTGGTGAGTCGATTCAAATCCCTTTTTCGTTCAGATCATTCAGCTCATTTTTTTTGTCTATATTCCCCCAAGCAGCGGCATCACAGAAGCGGCACGCTTATGTCCTCCGGGCGCCTTGGCCACTCATCAATCAGGCCCTCCTATACCTCGATGCGCTCGTAGCGCATTGACGCTGGAGCGCGGTATGAGGAAGCCTGCCCTGATGGAAGATGCGAGCCATGAGTGCACGCGCCGTGAGCGCGGTGGCGTCGTTTGCGAGGATCTCGACGGCCGAGTCATTGACGACGAGGATGAGGTTGAGGGTCTGACGCGTCGAGGCGGATGTGTTAGAGGACCGGAGCTTAGCCACCTTGGTCTCGGCGCCTTCTGTGGGGGGAGAGCATGCACGTCGCGCGGCCAGTCGCCGACGGGTTGCTTCGTATATGCGAGGCAGACTCACGAGTTCTAATCAGTGCGCTGTTCTAGCGCTCGACAGCGAGCGCTTCCAACTTTGGGACAATGTTAACGCCCGTCCACCCCTCGGCACTCGCGCGCATCTGGAAGCAGGCCTTGAGGAGGTCGCCTTCACGCCCTCCGCACGCGAGGGTCGCCTGAATGATGTAGTGTGATGTGGCGGGCTGCCGCGCAAACGGCATGCCCACGCCCACGCTCACTGCCATCTTTTTGTTCGGCGCCATCCACAGTCTCTGTGGCGGCGGCGTCCTGCTCCGACAACGACCCCGCGCCCACGCTGCCCTACGACGACCAAAGCATCGCAACCGGTCGAGTGTCGAGGAGGCGGATGAGACCCAGCTGGCGGCGGAGGACAGACGAGCTGAGAAGAGAGTGAGCACGGACGACGAGGCCATCCACGAGAGATGTAGGTACGTCGTCTCTCACTCCAGTCTTCTCCGCACACCCGAACGAGTACATATCGTATCCGACCTGGCTGCCCGGCTCCTTGAAAACCCCAGCCCGACGCCACGCCCACCTATCGTAACCCTCTCATCCACTCCTGCTCTCGACCTACTCGACACCACGCCCACTTGCTCGCATCGTCCACGCCTCCTCTGCACATTGTCTGCATTGCCTGGACTCCCGATTGAAACGCCCGGACCCCTTGCTCGACGCCATGGGCACTCGCGAGCTCAAGTGCTCGGCCCGCTCGACTGTCAATCCCGCATCCGCCCTCGTCCCCTTAGGTCCACGTACCTGCTTTTGCCTGCGACTCATATCCACCCACACTCGTCTCCTCGACACGCCCATCCACTCGTCCACTTAATCTCCTCGGTCTTTTACCCTCGAACCTCAACTATCGACTGCCCACGGATCTCCCTCGAGAACGAGGAACGGCTGCAGCAGAGAGACAAGCTGGGAAGAGGGCGGGTTAGGGGCAACGAGGACATCTACAACGCGAACTTGTTGAGCAAGTCGGTACGTCGTCATCTCTCGCAATCGACGACATCATGACCAGGCAGGAGGTGCTCGTGCAGCAGATTTCCCAGTTCAGGTTCACAAAGAGGTGCTTCGAGCAGGTCATCCTGCGCTGAGAGATGAACACTGCGCCCGAGCCCCCAAAAGAGGTTCAGCCGCCCCCACCACAGAAAGACTTCTCTTGCGCTCTCCAGTTCGTGCTCACGCTCACACTGACGCACAAACGTGCGCACAGCCTCAGCCAGCCGCTCGAGCTCCGCCGCCAGGGGGCCGAGGAGGAGTCGTACTTCAACATGGATGACGACGACGACGACGGCGATGATGACGGCTCGCTGCCGCTCCCTAGCACGCCGCTGCTCACGCGTCACTAGTCCGCGGACCAGAACCGTAAGCGCCAGCGCGTGCCCGGCGTACCGATGCCCCCCACTCCGCATGCCAAGCATCCACCTCCCACATGCGCCGCTCAGCGGCAGCCTCATCGACCACCACGACTCCTCCTCGCGCGAGCTTGCGCTCGACCTCAGCCTCAACCTCGACCGCCACCTCGTGCCTCTCGGCCCTCACGGCGGCGACACGGAGGCGGGCGCGGACGCCGCGCACACCGTCGCGCCCATGCTGACCCCTACGCGCCTCCGACGCTGCGCCTCTCTCATCGACTGATCGTGGGCGCACGCCCAACGCCGACGATGCCGGCAGTGGCGGCGGTGACGAGCAGCCGAACACGGGCGGTGGCGGTGACGGTGGCGGGAGCTCCTGCGCGAGCGCTGTGAGCGGGTGGAGGACAAGCACATGGGCGGCCTTGGAGGCGCCTATTCCGAAATCATGGACCGCTCTGACATGGAGGGTCTTCTCGCGGAGGTCTCCGACGTCTTGCGAAGCGACGACGAGCTGATGACATTGAAAGACACAGACCTCCTCATCATCCACGACATGGACATCCACCTCAAGAACTACAAGCGCAAGTACAAGCAGGTCAAGGCTGAGCTCCGGAGCCTCAAAGGTGCGCTCTCATCCTCGTGCACAATCGTCGGCTGACCCGCGTTCCTCACAGCCACCTCACAGATCTTCCTTAAGATGCCCAGTTTGACGAGCAGCTGCCCATGTCGCAAGACGGCGGCATCCCAGACATGGCAACCTCGTCGTCACCTCCAAGATGCACGCCACCAGCTCCAGCCTGTCCCCCGTCAGCCTCCCCCACGCCGTCGCGAGCCACGTCTCGGCCGTGGTCACCGAGATCGGGCACACGGTGTTCATCCGCAGGGTGACCAAACAAGAGCAGGAGCAGTACTCGCCCGCCGCGTCGAACCGGTTCTCGCCTACCCTCCGCTTGGTCGAGGAGGCAAACCCTGCGGTGTCCGCGCAGCGCGCGAGCTCGTCGTCCGCCTCGAACAGGCGCGTGGACGTAGAGTAGGAGTACTACCCACGGCAGCCCAACCTGCTCTGCCAGTAGCCGCTCGACTCGGCCGAGTCGCCGTCGAGACGCCCCGCCGTTCTCGGGGCGCTCGTCGAGCAACAGCCGCTTCTGCAAAGCGTCGTTGGAGCGCTCGAGCTCCGCGGGCTGCTCGCCGCCCCCGGTCTTTGACCAGGTGCGCATGGAGAGCACAATGGGCGTGCTCAGCAATGACTCGGAGCTCGCAGAGGGCTCCGAAGACGCCTGGACGGAGCTCAAGGTAATATTCGTGTCGTGCTTCATTCACCCCTGCGCTCACGCTTTTTCGCGGCCCTACCTCGAGGCACCGACCGTTTTGATCGTCTACGCCATCCAGAGCATCCTGTCCGGTGTCCGCTCGCTGATACCTTCGCCAACGCTCAATGAGAACCTCACGCAGATCATCACGATCATGTCCAGCATCGTCGCCGTCTGTCACGACAACCTCCCGCCCGTGTTGGCGCAGCAGGGGAATGACATCCTGCGCGAGCTCAGCGACCACACGAACAAGCTCAGTGAGGTCCAAGCCATGCGCGACACTCCCACGATGCAACCTAGTAGTATTACCGACACTTTTGAGTCCACCGATATCTGAAACTACTGTGTTGCTAATTAAATGAATTTATAAATATGAAAAAATCCTTTCTGTAATCTCCATACCCTGCTTCAACTTTGAGGCCCAAAAGCAGCGAGATTGAATCAGGGGTTCAATAGATATGGATTTAAACAGTCTACCCCCTAAAACCAGACTGTGTGAAGCACAGTCTGGGTTTTGGGAACCAAATCCGAGGTTGCGCACAATTCTGTCTGATTCAATAGGCTTAAAATGTATCTGTCATGGTACCCTAATATTCTAACCTAGTAGTATTACCGACACTTTTGAGTCCACCGATATCCGAAACTACTGTGTTGCCAATTAAATGCAAATATAAATATGAAAAAATCCTTTCTGTAATCTTCATACCCTGCTTCAACTTTGAGACCCAGAAGCAGCAAGATTGAATCAGGGGCTCAATAGATATGGATTTAAACAGTCTACCCCCTAAAACCAGACTGTGTGAAGCACAGTCTGGGTTTTGGGAACCAAATCTAAGATTTCACACAATTCTGTCCAATTCAATAGGCTTAAAATGTACTTGTCATGGTACCCTAATATTTTCATTAGTAGACATGGAGTACTGAAGATGTTATAGGCAGAATACAGAATTGAGGGAAAAGCTCAAAAAACCGAGTCTCCAGTCCACAATTGTCCTTTTATTTCCATTGCAAAACTAATAAAATGCTCCTACATACACTACCTTTCAGATTATA